ATCCGACACTCATCCCACCACACCTCCCCTTATGCCCATTCCCTCCACCTGTACTCGACCGTTCTCCCAAGTTTCAGTCGATCTTATCACTGATCTTCCGGAGAGCGCCGGCTATGATTCCATTATGGTCGTGGTCGACCATGGGCTTACGAAGGGGGTAATTTTCTCGCCTTGCAAGAAAACCATCACTGCAGAAGGCGTTGCTGAATTATTTTACAAAAAGGTGTTTATGCGATTCGGACTATACGACAAGATCATCTCCGATCGAGGCCCACAATTCGCCTCGAAGCTAGCAAAAGAACTCGGACGGCTCCTGGACTACCAGGTAGCCCTCTCCACTGCCTATCATCCTCAGACGGATGGGCAGACAGAACGAATGAACCAGGAGCTGGAGACATACCTTCGGATCTATTGTAGGACGACCCCTAACGATTGGGCCAAACACCTTCCCATGGCCGAATTCGTCCACAATTCCAGACGACACTCCGCTCGGAACGCATCCCCGTTCTACCTCATGATGGGTTATGAACCCAAAGGCATACCTTACGCCTTCCCCGACTCAGCTCTGCCAGCAGCAGAAGATCGAGTCAAGAGACTCGCGAAGATCCGTGAAGAAGCCCTTGCATGCCACAGCCTTGCGCAGCAACGCATGGCAGAACGCACGTTCGGGCGAAAATACCAACCATGGAAGGTTGGGGACAAGGTGTGGCTGTCTGCTGCGCATTTGATCACCCACTTCCCTTCAAAGAAACTCGCACCGAAACGATACGGACCCTTTACCGTTAAACAGGTCCTATCCCCTATCACGTTCACCCTCGAACTCCCTGCCACCTGGCGTGTTCATCCCACGTTCCATGCATCAGAATTATCCTCCTATCAAGAAACGGACGTGCATGGCCCAAACTATACTGAACCGCCACCGGACCTGATCGACGGGGAAGAACATTACGAAATAGAAGCAATCCTCCAACACAGGGGTACCGGAACGAAACGCCGATACCTGGTCTCCTGGGTTGGCTATCCACCCTCCGAACGAACGTGGATCCCAGAGAAGGACTTGAAGTCCGCAGCGGAGATGCTCAAGGACTATAAGAAGAGACTCAAGCTGACAACAAAGCTCCTCAGTTGTTAACCAGCTACCATCATCTCCATGTCTACCACTTCGTCCAATGCCTCCTCCATCTCCCTCGGTTCCACACCCTCCATCGTCGAACTCATTCACGAGTTCACCGTTCCTTTCACGCAGACCCCGGACTCTCAGAAGGCATTCTGGGAGGCCATTATTCTCGACGCGCAGTACGCGCTTAGACTCGACAGCTATATTGACCGTACCAAAGACACGGTTCTCTTGGAGCTTGTCAACGCGTTTCGGGCAGTTGACACTGTCGCTTTCACAACCGGACCATATGGCATCCTTCCCCATAGTCCGATCACTCGATACTCCGTCACGAAGGCCAAGAGGGCCCTCTTGAACCTTCTCGCATCCAGGAATTTCGGCGACGTAGTCGTCAAAATAGAAGAAGAAATCGCATACAACCAACCGCCTGTACAGGCAACCGTTGTCGAGCGTACTGCCGAGTGCAGTGCTCCAACTCCCCCTCCTGAACGATCCAACCTTATCCCCACCAACCTCACATCCGAAGAAATCGACAAACTGTTCGCAGAACACGAAGAAGAGCAGTACAGGATGATGACTAGCGACGAGCTCGAAGAACTCCGAGCCGCCATCATCAACGACGAGGTCGTAGCCAACGACCCGTTACCTGCTCCCTATAAAGGGAAGAAGAAGCACGAAGAAGAAAAGTCGAGTAAGGAAACTCGCACACCCCTTGGAGAAAGACGAACGAAGAAGACAAACCGAGCTTGGAAGCTCGTCTTACCACTCCCCCTCCAGGGTTCACCTCTACCGATGACATACCGATATTATCTATCGGGTCACCTATCATCAGGGACGATACCCCTGTCCCTGTTCCTCCACCCACACGTAGACCCCGACGAAGTCGCCGATTGAATACCGAGCGCATCCTTGCACTCGGACTACCCACCACTCGACATGTACCGGGCCAAGATCCCACCAGGCAACAGATACTTAACGAAACACACACTAGGACGACCCCACAACCCTACCAGTGCAACTTTAAGTGCAGGGTCTGCCACCAGTACGGCCACAAACAGAAACAATGCGAGCGATACTTTCTGCCGCATTTGTGGACTGTTCGCCCCCGGACATCTCACTCCCTTCTGCCCTCGCCTTCACGGCAAGAAGATCCTTCGTCGAGGAATATCCTCGGAAACGTTCTACACTGACATGCGTCAGTTAGAGGCAGCATATGATCACGATGCTGCGCGACTCGAACAAGATAGAGAAGAGAATGCTTTGGAAGCCATGGACATACTCCGTGACCTCGACTGCGACCCCTCCTGGTATGACAACATGGATAACTGAACTCGTTGATTTCAGTCCTAGAAACCGGGGTAATGTTACAAGAACATCTAGACGCTTGGGCCCCTACTATTTTTCTCCTAATCCTCCTCGTATCAGCCCTCGCATCATACCCTTACCCCGACCTTACCCTTGTCATCCTCGTCATCCTCGCATTCCCTTTCGCCCTCTACCTGTCGCTTCAGCAAAGCCAGTACATCTGGCCGGATCCCTTTCGCTGACGAAGCATACCCATGCTCCGTTTCACCACCTGACTGATCCTGCGGACAGTCCCCCTTGCCCTTACCGTCTGGACGGTAACCTATGATACGATGCACGACGCATCCCCCTTGCCCTATTTCCTTTCTTGATCTCTGACTCGGTGCGCAGTCGCACATGCGACTTATACTTAGATCCGCAGCTGCACGATCGTGCCCCTGCGCTGTTTCACTTCTCATTCTGATCTTTGACTCACTTTCTTATCTAGCACGTTCTACCTAGATCGAACGTGCCTTCCTATTATGGTCTTACCCTTTACCGATTGCCTCTCCCGGTAGTACGAGTTATCATCCACTAATACGTCTCCTGTCCTCTATATAAACTCGCTACCATGTACCATATTCCCTAACTTGAATCTACTTGGTTCTTGACCTCCTACTCTTACCAGAGTGATCCTTCTGCCTCGCCAGCAGTCTATATTCTATCTTCTTATCTGCTCATCGCGGATAAGCCTATAGTCTCGACCTTTACTCATCGACTTCGTCGACGAGCAAAAGCCCCTGTTAACTAGTCGGACTTCTGTCCTTCTAATTAACGACGATCCTTACGATTAACCTTCGGGTGTCGTAAGCCTAGGCCGATATAGCTTATCGTCTCGTACCCACGTGACATAAGCTACCCGATTTGGACATAGGCATTAAATCGTACTTGCCGAAGACACGCCAAGTACGACCCCTAACCTTGGGCTAGCCCAAGGACGTCCACAGACCATTGACGACACAAGCTCTGTTTGAGCGTCACCAACAGACACCATCCAAGTCGTAACAGATGCCGGAGGTAACTCAAGGTCAGGAATGGGCTCCAGCCCAAACAAGGCAGAAAGATCACAAAGAGTCTTTGCACGAGGTGTCCCAAAAATAAAGAGACAGTCAATGAGCTCATGTTCTGCAACCTCACGGTCAATGTGTTGCTTTATTTGTGTCAATGTCAGCAATCAAGACATAAGACATAAAGATCGTAGAACTACCTGGAAACTGTTGATCACAATCTTCTTGCTCCATCCCCAGGTCAAAATTTCACTGAGGAAAACGTGGAAAGTTGGGAGTACGAGCGTTCAAGGAGAAATGAATAAAATTTAAGGACAAACGCAGCATCAGAAGGAGTAAGAATCAAAAGGTGACAAGTATAGATAGTGGTAAGCAGGAAACAGGAAACAAAAACAACAAGCATCAAGGGTTATATGGCTTTGACATTATCTGGAATGTCGTCACATTCCTGCTTGTTAGAGTTGAAGCAAAGATGTCCAATAGGCAAGTTAGTTAGGGTTAATGCACAAGGGCTCTGGCCCAAGTGATAACATTACCTTCCAGAGCCCTAATGTATGACACTTTGTTGAAAGTGTTAGGACCGACTACCAAAGGGTTGGCCACATGTGAGAGGTTTGCAGTGGAGTGGTCATCGATGATGTGCTGCACACAAATATTGATTATGTGTGGGAAGCACAGGATTCTGTGATCCTCGGCATCAAAGACAATATCATCCTCCTTCATTAGGCCCGAAAGTTCTTCCATCGGGGTCTTGTTATTGCCAGCATTGTCCAATGTGAAATGCCCCACCTAAACCAAGTCAGAGCATGTTACAAGGTACAACTAAACACTGACATTAGTTTTCACATTGGCATGTTCAATGAGATTGAATATCGTTGAACCTAGTGCCTTTCCCATGTGACTACCGGGACCATGATGAAAGGCAATTAGAGTGACCTTCAAAACAAGCACCACATCCTTCTTTTTCTTGGCAATCCAATGTGCAGTGAGCACCAGGAAGGGGTAGAGCTTAGAATCTGACCAGAGGTCAGATGTAAAGGATATTTTTCCTTGGGCACTCTGCAAGATGCACGTAAGAGACTTTGCAGCATCGACAGCTGTATGTTATGACTGGGATAGTTCTGCTGTCGAGGATCAAAGATAGATTGCTCAGTCGACAGTTCGTCGGCCTTCCTAGTACAAGGAAGGTGTCTTGGTTCAAGGGTTCACACTGCACGAGCCGTGGCTTCTATGCAGGATCAGCGGCGAGTGGTTTTAGCACTTCTACCGCAATCAAGAGTTCAGGCTAAGACAGTGAGTGACTGTCTTAGAATCAAGGTTCAGGCTACTAAGGGTGGAGACCTTAGTAGATCAGGTTTCAAGGGGAAAACCCAGTAGATTAAGTTAAGGAATACAACTATGGTACATGGAGTTTATATAGGTAAAAGGGAGCAGCGCAGCCGCAACAAGAATGGTAACAAAGATAGGAAAAAGAGTACAACCTATCAAGATAGCAAAGATAGGTGAAACCGCCATGTGGCGCAAGATAGTATCTATGTTACAATCAAGAAGAAGAGAAGTGCGGACAGCCCGCTTGATAAGAGAATAGCCAGGTCTAGATGAGTCTAGAGTTGGCGGCATGGTTACAAGAAAGAAAAATAGAATAGGAGTAAATGTTATTGTAACACTGTACACGTACTGCGAGGGCACATTTTGTAGCTTCAAAGTACTCATCCCACATAGCAATGATCAGTTGACATAATTTCAAGCGATGAGGGATATCAGAGTCTGTTAAGTCTTGCCGCAAGAGAAGGATCAACCGACGAAATTCAGGACATTCAACAATGTTAATGGCCTTGAGACGGCTGTTAGTAATAGTATGTAGAAAGTAGATATACTTACTTGGTCATCAGCTATGATGAACTTCACAATATGCCTATGCAACTCGTTGAGAGAGAAGTTGGGTAAGGTATCATCCAAAGATGCTGACATCTTGACACCAGGCAGCAAACCACCACGTCTGGTATTGGAGGGAGCACCTAGTGATTTGATTGTATTAGCAGGATCCTCGAGCCTTTCAAGTAGTTGTGCAAGGGTCCATCCTTCATCAAGGCGGCATTGTACAGCATTTATGCCAGCTGGCCAGCCATTCTTCTCAAGTGCTGTTAGATAGTAATACATATGATATTTGCCCACATGACAACAAAGAGTGCTAGTGCCTGTGCACATCTTGTATTCAGCAACACAGTAGGATGGATCAACCTTAAGTATATCCCTGGTAAAGAATATGAGAAAAAGAAAAAGACTGTAGATGTATTACTTACTCACATGGTATACATATGCGCTTGCCTGAAATTGGATCAATCCGAAAGAAGTGATGGATTTCAGTGGTGGTCGTGCCTGTGCCTCCTTGTCGTCATCTTGTAGCCAAGGGATTAGTTCTGAGAGTGCTGGTGGTGTGGTTCTGCAAGGGCTGGCAGTGTTGGTTCTATGAGGGCTGGCAGTGTTGGTTCTGCAAGGGCTGGTCGTTGTCTGAAGTGGGGGGCATTTGACTATGATGTCAGGTGGGTAACTTTTTCCTTCATTATTGTCGCCGCTGATGTTAATGTCGATCCATTTGCCATTGTCCCAATCAACAAGATATCTTTGAGGAGTCTTCCATTGCCTATGAGGGCAGCAGAAGTTGCAGCAGCAATATTGGTAGTTGCTACAGGAGGACAAACAGGTGCAGCAGGGGGGACTGGAGCAACAATGGGGATGGGAGTAGCAGTGGGGACTGGGGCAGCAAGAGGGACTGGGGCAGCAGTGGGGACTAGGGTAGCAGCGGGGATGATAACCATAGTATCAGTCTTTGGCCAACAATAGCTGCGACATTTCATGTTAGTGATTGTAGTGCTAAAGATGCAATGAGAATCCACACCATATATAAACCTTCATTGTAGATGGCTAGACACCACTCCATAGGGTCATGGCAATGGGGATCTTTAGGGATGTAGGGTCTAAACACAATGTGTAATGTTAGTGGCAATGCACAACAAGTAGGACGACTGAACCCATGCATAAGACCCTCACCGCTTAGTAGCCCTCAATAGCATCACGACTTCTGAAGTTGTAAGCGGCCCCATGTCCACCCCACTTTGAAGATTCACTTGAAAAAAGAAAGGAAGTGTCCATGCGGGAAGTGATAAGGGTATTTAGATCGATAATTACCTAGTACATCACAATCAGTTGAATTAATCAGGCAAAGCTTGATCCATACCCTAATTTGAACTGTGAAGGGAGGTTGGCATGTTGGAGAACATGTGACATGTCATAGTCTCCATACAGGCGGGGATCTTCGCAAACAGAAACAATGCAAGGGGCTGAGTTGCTGCTGAGGAGTCGGAATTTGAAGGACCATGAGGCTGATTGATGATCAGGTTCAGGTGCAGTGGTCACTGCCAACTGGTGAGTGGGAGACAGTAGAGTCACACATTGGGGGGTGTCAATGTTCTACCTCTTGCAATATTTCGATCAAAAGCAGATCTGGGTGTCGCTAGACCATTCCAGAGCACTCTGGATTACATTTAGAATGTAATTTCACTGGCAGCAAAAGGTGGTAAGATGTCAGTTTCCCTGCCGCTGTGTCATAAGAATCATAACAAATGAAACAACTTACTTAGAACAGTTAATGCCGCAGCAGGAGCCATGTGGCAGTCAGGACGCAGAAGTCATGCTAGAAAGTGCAGGATTTGGCCAGTCTGTGGGACAAGTGGTTTTCCGGAAAGTGCCGGGCAGTCTGGTGGTGATGTGATGGCTGATGTAAGGAAACACATATATTTATACGTGTCTATATACTCCAAACTGATAGCGAGAATAGGAAAACCAAATGACTATTATACTACATTCTTTTTCTGATGTGGGGTAAAAGTAGTTGCAGGGAATAGGGAGTCATTGCAGGGGCGTAAACTGGCAAACCATGAGTTGGTGAGTGGCAAAGATGGAATAAACTACTCACATATGAGTTGATTTATGAAGAGGCGTAGCCTTTGATATACACAGGGGGGTGATCTCAGCTACATTGTTGGAGATTGGAGAACTTATGATAGGAGCATTGGGCTGACTAAAATCTAGTGAACATGTAGCTGGTGCAGGCTCTGCAGCACAAAGACCACAAAGCAAGTGGTTGTAGTCAGGATCCTCTGAAAATGAGAGAGCATGTGAGTATACGAGAATATTTGTGAATTCAGCAGGAATCCCAGCACATAAATCTGCAATGGTGGTATCCACCTTGTGCTCGAGTATGAAAGAGCTGGAGAGCTCCTCATCGTCGCTAGTTAGCCATGGAAGGGAGCCATGCAAGAAATAGATCAACATGTATGCAAGTGACTCAAGATCATCACAATGACACAACTCCAATCCTAAGTGGTTATTGATTGAAGCGAATGCAGGAGTACCTGTGAGATGTTGACCTTGGCAAAATGGCACGTGGGTTTCAGTGGTAATGTTCCAGTACCTCTTTGCGATACCAAAATCGACAAGAAAGGCAGGTTTGGCTTGAATTGCCAAGATCCATCAAAATATTCTGCAGTTTTATATCGCAATGAACATAATTGTGCGAATGAACATACTCAAGACAGTGAGAGCTAGGAAAACAGGTTAGCAAGTTGGCAGTGACCTACTACAAACTGACATACTAGCTGGTCTCCTAGATTCAGGACAGTGGGAAGGCTGAATTTTCAATTGTGTGAAAGGAAGAGATCATGGAGTGATGGCCTCAGGAGGTCGAGGGCCAAAGCATGATATGCTGATTCTCTACCATACCAAAGGGCGCGGGGAATCCCAACTCCACCTTCGAGTTGTTTAAGGATGCGGTATTCACACTCCACAGAAGGTATGGAATCGGGAGGTTCAAGTTTGATGGCTACTACATCGTCATTTAGGAAGTTCACTGCGCGGTACATGACAGCTGGTAAGTGGAGTCTACATGTTAAATCTAAATCAACATCATGTGAACAGCGCACCATATGACCCAGATCCCAGAATATCTTCTAGTTTAAATCTTCCGTCAATTCGAGTAGGGACCTTGTTCATGTTATGATATTTATGGATGAAATATTACAGTGGTTGATACAACAACTATGGTGCAGGACGCAGCAGGAGAAAGAAAGGTTCAAGTTTGCATGTGTTGGCTTGAGTCAGTGAAGGTGAGGAATGGTGACTATGCCAAAAGGAAGCTAAAGCCTGAGTGGGCTCTACAGCAATGTCTGGATGCGAGAATGCATCTCGACCCAAAGGACAGCTACTGAGAGAAGTTCCTCTGAAATAAATGGAGGGAAACTTTCATCAACTAGGCGGGTGTGTAGGCAGATGCATGCATTAGATGCGCGAGTGCGGACACGCACGAAGGTGAGGCACACGTAAGAGAAGCGCATTGGTGTGGCGCGTTAGCGGAATGCATTGCATTGGTGAAACATGTTGGTGGGGCATGTTGGCGGGGCGTGTTGGTGTGACACATTGGCGAAGTGCATTAGTGAAGCGTGGATATGCAAAGTGTGCGTATGTGAGGCGCGCGCCTTACAACAAGGGTTGTAATATGCGGATACAGAGTGTGAGTTTCAGGGACTTAGACCCAAGCCAAGATGTGATAAGGGAATATATTCTTAAGGCTAGATACTGCCTATGGTCAGAATACGTAGAGGTAAAGGGTGCATAAAAAGAGAGTCCTCATATTTCCACCACTCCTTCTTTTAAGATAAAAATTGACTACATGTGAATATAATAAGCAGCACATGCGAGTGCGGAGCCGAGCTAAGTAACGTTAATCTAAATTTATTGTCAGGGTCTAATGCGACCACATAATGCATGGGTACAGAATTTGGACCAAAGGTACATCAGCATGTGAGAATAACTAAGGTACTCACCAGTGAACCAGGGAGGACATGGGTGGATGGACAGCGGAAGTGCGAGGAGCTATAAACAAAGTGCAGATGCAGACGCGTTGGCGTGTGATGCATGTGCGTGTGTGGCACGTTGGAGGCATGGGAAACACGCTTGACTGATCCTTTGGATAAGAGCCAGAATATAGGGGAATAGTGATGGTATAGTGCCTTATATCAGATGGTGAGATGCATGAGTCTCTACATCGGCTCAAGCCAACCTTCAAGCTGGACTGAGCTAGAAATAGTGGTTCAGTTCACTAGGATATTCAAACCAACAGGCACAACTGGCAAAAACCAAACATGACTGAACCGGACCAAACCCGAGCTGAGCCGTGGTAACACTAATCACACCTATGTCCAGTCACATCCCACTAGCCCCTACTAGGTGTGCACTTAGTCTTATCTTCATTGTTAACAGTGTAGACAGTGTTATTACATATTTTCCCATAGTCCGCAGTACCTTGTGTCTTATTACATAGGACATCAGACCCAAAAATTATCACTACTACCTTCACCTATGGTATTCTGTATTCCTACATAGATAGATAAATACTCTGTAGTGACTCTTACTTATCCATCCACCTGTAGCTGGGTCACTTTCAGAATATTTTTGTAGTTCTTGATTGATTTGCAAAATATTACCATTTCTTCACCGTCATACTCCATCACTTGTTGTGCTTGCACACACTGCTCGCAACCTGACACTCATTACATAGTTTCCGACCTATTATCATGAAGTCCAAAATCTCGGACATCGCACTTTGGCTTCAGATATCGGATAAGTACCCTCAGACATCATCAGATTACCATTGGACATCATTTCATAGCTTCAGACATTCATTATTTGCATTACTGACACATTCATACTACTGATACCATATAGCAATCCCTTTAGGATTGAACACACTTGTCCTCAAGTATAGCAGACTAGGTTGTGATAAAGATCTACCTAAATATTGTTGTCTAGGTAGTACCATTTCTGCTGAGCCCAGTGGAGATTTACTTTCTACAGTGTGCTGAAGATGAGGAATCTAAACTGCGGGGAAAGTTGGTGCTAAACCAAGAAAACACAGATAGTCCCAGGTGTAAGTAAAATATCAACCCAAGGGCAGCTGTCTGAGTCAAGGGAAACCTCTCTTATGAAAAGAGGGACACCAAACTACTACTAGGGTAATAGGACTATGGAATGTGCAAAGCACGAGGCAAGAGCAATGCAAGAAATGATATGTGGACGCATGAGTGCAAAATGCAAAGTGCAAGATACATGACACAAAAGTAGCATACACAAGCAAGAGCAAAATATGAATGAATGAAAGAGACTAAAGAGAGACAAGACAAGACAACTGATATCACCCCAACTAAGGTTGGCTGATGATAAGGCATAGGGCGGACAACTAGTGCACGAGACTTAGATAGTCACTGCAACGAGTAAAATTCTCCTGTAGCTAAGTACACAGAGAAAGTGGGCAGAAAATTGACCCAGAATATAGAGTAGAGGAATGGTATAAGTAAAATAGTTAAACACCACTAGGTGCACAGATCCAATGTGACAAGCCAAACAAGCTAAAAATAGTACACAAAGTAGGTAATAGGGTCCTGGGTTTGCACATAGTGCAAGGCCATGTGTTAGCAAGGGAAAACAATAGGAATGTAGTGGGAAAATGCACCAATGGACATCTAAGGACATAGAAAGGACAGGCAGATGGATGTGCAGACAATGTGAGGACGGATGCGCAATGTGCATGAATGTGAGATACCACTGTAGAGATTTGCACTATTACAGGCTCACAATGTGTTGTAATTCAGTTCATATCACTCAGATTCACAGCACCAACTTGCAGCATCATTCCCTAGCCTTTCCCCAGCTATTTCCATATCGGATGACACTTTCCCATGTTGCGCAACCTTCCCGCACTTGCGCATCACTCGCTTTCCCACACTTTCATTGCCCTATCATCCAGGAGCATCCATCCACTGTCCAGCATTACATACCCTATTACATACATTATCTCACACTCGGCTCACTTAGCAAGGCACATATATAGGTCTGCATTTTTCACTCTTTACACATAACAACACACCTACCTTAGTGGAATTCCCCCATCATGTCCATAGGTAGATTCAGAATCTATTAGCAGTCTTTAGTTGTCATTCATTGAGCCCTCGTCCCTTGCATATTGCATTTCACATTTTTGCTATTTTCGCATTTTTGCTATTTCACATTTTGTGTTCCCATGCTTCACAAGGACGTCACTCACTTCACACAGCTGCTGCATGACTGTGGATTTGTTTTCCTTGCTTCCCCTTGGATTGAACGTGCTTGTCCCTGCAAGTATAGCAGCCTAGGCATCGCAATTGATCGCTATATCAGCTTCTTGTGTCCTTCACTTAGATTTATCATTAGACCTGGAGCTGAGTTGATTCACCTTCAGCGGAAAATGCAGAAGGTGCATGAAGGTTACAGAAGGTGCAAGGAAGAAACACTGAAGGTGTGAGTTATGTGCAAAGGGCATGTACACATATGTAGCAGGAAAGAAAGAAAGAAGTGCATGTGTGTGCACTTGTGCAAAGGACACTTGAGAACTTACAATTTCTGTGACCTGAGCAGCTGTACCCCACTCAGTAGGGAATTTGTCAGCATCAAGAAGAGAATTGACTGAGAAACCATCTTCTTTATTGACGTAGGAGAGATCTCTGATGATGTGGAACTTTCCTTGGTCTCCCACTTTCTCGACAAGACTCAGTGGGCAGGAGACAAAGTGTCTGCTGAGTTTGAGTGATATCTGCTCCTGCATGGATGGTCTGAACATGCGGCCAAGAGTGCATTCTGCAGATAGATATTTGTGAATGACATCAGGGTGTTCGAGAAATGATTTGTGGTTAGGTGGCATGTAAGTACATGAAAGTTCTGAAAGGGCTTGCCCTCTGTACTGGAAATGGTACCTTTGAACTTTGGTTTGACTGCAGGGTAAGGGTGGAATCTGTTACTGCTGCTCGAACCATCAAGGCAAGCTGCTAGAGCAGCAACTCTGTTGGCCTCGCAAATGGCCATTGCAGAGGCCTCATCTGCCTTCTTTTGAGAGATCTTTGTAATTGTATCATTCCAACACCATTCATATGCTGCTTCAGTGAGAAAACCCTTGGTGTTGAAGAACATATGTCTGGTCTCAATGTCAAAGGCAAGAATTGCCTCATAGTTGTTGACAAATGGCTTATGTGAGAGGCAGAATTTGCAGTGTCATTTGAAACACTCTATGATGGATGGGCCAGCTATATGCTCTAAAAGCTGCATAAAATTTTCAGTGGCTTCATGAAAATCTGCCAGTTGAAGGGTAGTCTCTGCCAGGAAACCAGACACATCCAAAACTAACTTTTTGGGATCATCGAGGATCATCCCTTTGCGCATCTTGATGCATGAAGGATCTGTGTGAATTTTCTCAAATGACGAAGGCATCAGAAGGGTGAGAGGGACATGAATGTGAGACCTGGCTAAATCAATGATAACCCTCGGTATTTCAAACACGTCGTCAAATGACGTGAAGAATTTTACTTTGCCGTCATTGAAGGCATATGTCGGCATCACCACAGATGGGTTGGTGACAGGTTGAGGTTGAACAAAAGAGGAAGACACGGCAATTATGTTTGACACCAGTGCTTTGAAGCCAGCTCGTGAACCAGGGGTAAGTGCATTATAATCTCTGAAGAGGTTAATCATGGGAGTGTCTGTGCTGACAGGCTGTGGATTAGATAACTCCCATTGTTCCTTGGCAGGAACATCTAGGAGATTCTCATTGTCATTGACAATGTCTGTTGTTGTAGCCCTACGATCAGCCCAGGCCTTGTTACATTTGACCCATGCCTCATTCTCAGCAATTATGTCATAATGCAACACTGGTGCTTCACAGTGGCTGGAGGAGCCCATTTCCCCCATGATTCTGTTTGGGTCTGATTCTACAATTCTAAACGCCATAAGTCCCAACATGCTTTTACCCCTGACTCCCAAAGGAAGTCTGGAAGTCTGAGTGTTAGTCATTCTAATAGATATAAATCTGATGTAGGTAATGACTATATGCGCAGAATTCTCGAATAAGTGAAAATGCTGCAAGCAAACACAAAGGGAAGATGACAAGAGAGACGTGTGTTGATGACACACATAGGTATGTGTTTGCTCGCTTAGGTGCCATTTGGACAGTGAATTCCATTTTCAAATTTCGGATTCGTGGTCACATGCAACATAATTATATAAGCTGGGTTACCGTATCAGATTCCAATATGATAATGATCATCAGCGCTGTACGACAACCATGCCAGCTGCTACCCTACAACAACTTGACTACAATGGACCACTTGGGATGGTGCAACGAGGGTGTATACAGCGCCTGATGTTTATTCTAGTTGCTGTTGTTGCCCAGGCCCTCATAGACTATCAGACACACTTCCTAACCCACTGTGCGCGTATACCCTATCACACATCTACTTTAACGGGCGAAGTGTGGGTGTTGGAACTCATGTTCAGTCACCCTGATCGCATCAAACACAATTTCAGTGTGAACCTCAATGTTTTCAATGGTTTGTTGGAAGTCCTACAAGCCAATGGGTTTGTAAGGTCCCGCAATGGAGTTTCTGTGGAGGAACAGCTTGCAATATTTCTGTACACCTGTGTCACAGGGCTCTCGACCTGCCATATTGGAGAAAGGTTCCAATGTTCATTGGATACAGTCTCATGGTAAGTAGAGAATCAATATTGTATTATAATTCATCTAAGATCAAACTTATGACCCTAGGTACTTCAAGTGCATGTTACTGTTCTTTTCAACACCTCTGTTTTACTCCTCACAGGTTCAATTCCCTAAACACAACACTCCCATCTCTCCCACAATCTTAAATGATGGCATGTCTGATTTTTTGATCAGTGCCTTGGCGCTGTTGACGGTTCTCACATCCGTGCATTCACCACCATCGAGGACCAGCCATTCATGTGGAACTGTAAAGGATATCTCTCCCAGAATTGTCTTTTCATGTGTGATGTCGACTTTTTTTTTTTTACTCGCTTTGTGGGTGGAATGGCTCTGTCGCTGATGCGGCTCTCTGGAACGACGTGCACACAAAGGACTTGCGCATTCCCCCTGGAAAATACTTCCTCGCAGATGCCGGCTTCGGGTCATGCGACGCACTGCTTGTTCCGTATCGCGGTGTGCACTATCATCTCAAGGAATGGCGGCAGGCTAACCTCAGGTATGTTCTCATGTTCTCATTCTCACAGCTTTTCTTGACTGGTGCATTTTTTAAGGCCTCAGAATCCAAAGGAACTATTCAACCTCCGGCATGCAAAACTGTGCAATGTAGTGGAACAGATTTTCGGGGTAATCAAGTGCCAGTGGCAAATTTTACAACTACTGCTAGAGTACAACATGAGCATTCAAGCACAAGTGCCAGCGGCTTTGTGTGCCTTGCACAATTTTATTCGGAGGCACAACCCTGACGCTGACCTACTCAATCAAGATGAATACAACGAGAACAACCACATCATAGATGACGGAGAGGATGGAGCGGCTCATGGGGAACTTGGGGATGGGCCTGCTGATGCTGCTGAGAGACGGCGTGCAGAACAGTGTCGTGACACTATAGCACAGGCAATGTGGGAGAACTATTGTGCAGAGTCTATTCGGCGCAGACATCCATTAGCGTAGTACATTAGCATAGTACAAACTGATGGAATTTAACATGGTGTTTTCAAGCTGGTGCAAGACAATAGTCTTGAAACTCTCTGCGATCCGACCAGCAACATAAGCCATGGTAAGTTTGCGATCAATCATTTTGGCATGGTCGGTAATGGTTACATACTACTGCGGCAAATGTTAGTAAAGCATCTTTGCACCCACACAGATCTGAGCTTCTCATCCATATTCAGGTACTTGATGACCTCCCTCTTGTTCGATCCAAGATAGTCTATCAAGTCAACTTTTTCATAATCTGAGAATACAGTGCTTGCGCTGACCATTGCAACTGCACGTGCAAGATCCTTTGCAGATGTTGCGGCTGTGGTGTCCACAAGTGTTTGGTTGAAGTCCTTGAGCATGTCAGCAAGACTGACCATTGCACTGCTATTCTCCTGCTGCGCCTTTACAGCTGCTGAGGGAGGTCGGACTCGCTTTGACGAACTAGTAATTGAGATGTCTGAGCCTAGTGCGCTGGCCTTCCGCTTCTCTTGACAGCTGATGCTGGTCATAATGGAGGACACAGCATCTGTGTCAGAAATGAGGAAGGTAGATGGAGCGGCTGGTGATGCTGGTACAATTCCAGGCTAAAATATGTGGTGTTTGACACTTGGAGAAGAGCCAATCTCATTCATCACTGCAGTAAGCTGACTCAAGTTCAAGGTGGTGAGTGGTTGCGCTAATGGTGGAGCAGCAAGTGATTGTGCTGGCGGCGGTGCAGTGCTGCTACTAGCTGCAGCAGTGGCAAGGGGATCAGAGTGTGACATATGATGTGCAGCAGGCGGAATGGATCCTGAGTCCTTGGACAATGTGACTGGAGGTTTGTTTCAGCAGACCCAATTGCCTCAGGACTTCCGTGGCATCATGTGGTGAATGGCCTCAAAATGTGGGAAGCTCTTGTTCTTGAACGGTTTTGCAGCTTTATGGATCTTTCAAAATAATACAGGGTGAGTTGCAAGTATAGTTGAGACAGCCGTTACATACCTTGACAAAATTTGTCCATGTCGCTTCATACTCTAACAAAATTCCTGCGCCATCCACATCACTCCACGAGAATCCAGACGCATTCTTGATTTCAAGGACACCGTAATAAGAGGTCTTCAGCTACAGAAATTACAATCAGTATTAACACCATGCAGCGTGCCGGCACACCCATAGTAGTCAGTACTCACATTGGCCCATTTGGTCTGACAACTTGACCATACCTTCTCACCGCCTTGCTGCTGGTGAAAATTGTCTTTGAGATGCTGGGCGGCACCCTGAAAAACTGTTTTCTTGAAGTTTGTGCTGGTGGCATCACCTGTGGTGCTCATGTGTTGTTGGAGGTACTGGATCAAGGCAGCTTCCTCCTCAGTAGTCCAGTGAGCAGCAGGTTTGCAATGTGTAGTAGTAGAGGGTGCATCAACCTGGCCTTTGGATCGAAGGGAATGGCTTGATCGTGAGCTCGATGAGTGAGATCTTGTCATGATAACGATGTGTTGTCAGCATAAGTATGGAGTGCACCGTTCCACCGAGTGGCATCCGGGATTCTCCTGCAGAGTCCCACGGCAAGATCACATGATGAATGTTGAATTTCGAATGCGAAATTCGCTGTCCAAATGGCACCTTAGTAAGCGTCTATTTGCTCTCGGGTTCGCATAACGACCAAACTACACTCCATTTAATTGTGCTGAAAGTTTCCTTCTATTTAATTATACTAAAGCCTAAAACAACCACACATCATTTCTTTACTGAATACTCTTTCCCTCCCTTTATAGCTGGAGTTATAGCGCTTTTTCCATAGTTCGGTCGAGTTTGCGGCATGTTGGCTTCGAGAATCCATGGGGGCCCCACATCCTCGTGTCGGGGTCCTCGAATTTGCTGGCTATATCCTCGCTGTCTGCGTTCGCGAGACTTAAGTGAGGACAGTTAGTCTATTCTGGATTATTTTGCTTATGGAAAGTCATCCATTTTCAGAACAGTGGGTTTGCACTGGGGATATCGATGACACGTCAGCACAATCTGGTCATATCAATTTCGGGCTGTTTTCCTGATGGGCTGGCAGCTCTTTCCACCTAGCAATCGGACTCTCACCTGAGTCTGGGTTTCAAAGGCGGCGATCTGCCTCTAAATCTGCCCAGGAAATTATGTACATGCATGATCTTATCCTCAAGTATGATTCCGAGTTACAATCATATTAATATTGATGACTAGCGACAACAAGGTGCTTTCCCCCTCAAATCTGATCTCGACTGGTGTGTTTATGCAGATGATAGACCTCAAACTACTACTAATCTTGAACCAAATCAACCCGTTCTCGTCTCGCCATGAAACGAGCGACAATCATGACCAAGAGGATTTCAAGCTTCCGAACTTAGCATCTCTGGTCATCATGATTTTAATGAATCTGCTTCTCCAAGTAAGACATCGTTGCCAAGCACTATGCAACTGTCGCTCACGGCTTCGGCCTTCATAGGTCTCATTTTTCATCGTCATTTCATCGTCAAACAAATATGCAGAGTACTTGGGAGGAAATGCCACTTTCTCTGGAGTTGCCATCGGCATTCCGACGGCTTTTGCTGGACTTTCTTTGATTCCCTTGACAAAGTACGATAGAGGTATGTTTAGGTCACGTCTTCCTATCTTGGGGCGGTATTTTTCTAAATATTTGTTCTTTCATCCTGTCCTTAGGGATGTACAGAATGCCCCTTCATGTCAGTTGCTGCTTCGCCATTCTAGGTCACGTCGCCTACGCCCTGGCTTTCCGTACCAACTTCTTATATTTGATTCTAATCGGTCGTTGCCTCCTCGGGGTTGCATTCTCCATGTTCATGTACGGCAAACGGTACTGCACAGACCCTCGAATCGTTGGCATCAGACGAAGAACGACGCTTGCTAGCTGGATGGTCATCAGTCAAGGCATGGGCATGTCCCTTGGTCCATTTCTTGGTGGCGTGATGTACGACATCGGGTTCTCAAACTCAATTTTCAATGGTTATACAAGCCCAGGATGGATTATGGCCGGGATTCTCGCTGGCTTCTGGGTTTTGGTCGCAAAATATTTTGAGGACATCCCTCAACCACCAACCATTTTAGAATTGCAGTCAGCAAGCGATCCAAATGCTCCCATCACTTCTTTAGAAGTGAAAGGTGGAGACAAAGAGGCTTCTCCGGATTATCCATCAGCGTCTGCCACACGCCCTGCCTCACCCGTTGACGAATCTTTTAGAGCACAGCTCTCGCTGATCACATTGTCCCAGTGGGGTGTCATTGCATGCATGTGCTGGTTCTCGATGCTCTGTTTCTTCATCCTAGGCTCTTGGGAAGCCAATTTGCCTGTGTTTGGTGCCGCTGATGAAAACTTGCGCTGGTCTCCATTTGCTGCAGGAAATTTTATCGCTCTCGGCGGAATAACAGGTTTCCCTTTTCCTCCTCTTCAACCTCCTAGCTGCACGTCGCACACAAGACCGCAAAATCCTCGCATTCGGTACGATTCTCGGCCTTTCAGGGCTTATCATTTTTTTTTTCATCCTTCGTACCGGCAAAGTCAATTACGGCTCATTATTTACATGTTGGTGGAGCGTGGCGCTCGGGTTTAACCTTGCAACCACCGTGACCCTTAGTCTACTCAGCAAACAGCTCCCGCCAGAGTGGAACGGGTGCACTTCAATGGCAATTCAATACAGCAATTATACTGGTCGTGTTACCGGTGCAATCTGGGGTGGTTCGGGTGTTTCAGTGGGGATGATGAACTTTGTGGGATTGGAGATTGTTATGGTCGCCATTGGAGCTGTTTTTTTTACCACGTTGTGGAGGAATTTGAAGACGAAGACGGGATGACATTCCCGGTATCTTGTAATACTTTGACGCTATAGAGGTTCTTGTATAACACTACCGCCGTCGTCACAACGTGCCAATTATAGAGCAGCCCACCTTTTCGAATTCGTGACGGGTCGAAATGCACATGAGGTGTTTGGGGTCCTGCCTGCTACGACATTAGTATTGGAGAACTTCAAGTGGTGTCACCACCTGTGAGGCGAGTTCCGTCCTACCATGAAAGTCTTGATCGCATTCTCTATCCATATTCTCTTCGTGTTGCTCGTCTCAGCACACGGCGACCATGAAGACTCAGAAGAGAACGCAAAACTTGCTGATGCAAGCTACGCCATTCGACATGTATGGGAGACCTACTCATTAATCCTGACTGGTGCTGATTCATTCCTTGTTGGTAGATGGCCACCGAACACCATATGTGCGCAACTGAAAAATATCATACCTTTTCGTTCTAATAAGCTGATACAGTGATTCCTTCGACATGGAAAGTTTCTTCCAGCTTCATGATTTGAACAGGTTATTAATGAAACACAACCCGTATGGCAAATTATTGACCCGTACTTTTTGCTTTAGAGATGGCGTGTGGGACCGGGAAGAAATTGAGGCTATATACGGCGTCCATCATGTGTACTCACAGAAAAAGTCGAAGGTTTGGTAACTGAAGCTCTTGCGCTTATTGTGCGCTAACGTCGTGATAGGACGACATTGAACACCAGAAGAAGGCTGATCATGTTGCGGATACTGTACTCAAGCTCTTGGACAAAGACGGGGACAGCAAGGTCACGCCAGAGGAGTTTGCCGCTGTTGGGATGAGTGGCTTGCCGAGTTTTGACGACATAGGCGCAGAGGGTCACCATTACGATGTAGAAAGCGGTGAGCATTAACTGACTACTCATCATAATTATTACTGAGATTGCAACAAGAGTTTTTCTTACATCACGAAGGTTTGTTTGATGTGCAATGCATGCTCTTACGATCTGTAGCTCAAAGGATGCTTCAGAACAATATCACTCGACACCTGAAACACAAACCGATGCATCATACATTCACCCCGAAGACGCTGAACACTTTGCACAGCACGCAGCTATTGAACGTGAAGAAGCAGAGCGAGAGGCGAAATTTCAAGGGATAACAGTTGAGGAAGCCATCCGCGCACATGAAGAGCCCCCCGCACGCCCTGCACCCCCCGCTGAAAGTGCGCCAAAGCCCAAAATCACCCGTGGAGTCCCACCAGAGAAGCAGGATCCAGTGGTTAAGTACAAGGATATTGGCAAGGAGAGCGACAGCCAGTCAGAATGGGGAACCGGAGAACAAGGCTACAAGCAACCTAACACCCCAGCAGAGAAAACGAGGTCAGTTTCACGTTCAATCTCAATACATTCGTTTTACCCAGTCATCCTTCGTTGTAGGAAGAACCTCCCATACAAGGTACGGTCTGAGCCTCCTCAGCAGCTGTATTGAGAGTCGCTGATTCATAGGAACGTGTACAGTATAAATTCCGACGGAATTGGGGAGATTTCTAACGAGCTATCTGCTGATTTCTACTCGTTGCTTTCCATAGGAATTCATTCGCATCTATATATACCCTTATGCTTTGCGTATAGAACAGCGAACAGATCCCATGTACATCCTAGAGAGACAACCAACAAAACGGTTCATCCTCTCAACGACCGTCGAACATATCGTCCAAAACTCCCTGCTCAACTGCCTCCCAATCGATGTTCCCACTACTTGCATACACACTCTCGTAAGATGAAATGCTCACGTGAGAGAAGAATGGAAAAAGGTCCCTGATGGAGTCAATCTGACGGATTGATTTTAGTATGGGCTTCCGTAAAGCACGATCAGAATGGGCAGGGAAAGCAAGGGAAGTTGATGTTGGCAGTGATAGCCCAATATTTTGTGGTTCCTAGTGCGATTCAGATTATGAAGGCTCAGAAGAAGATAACATACTCGAGGTTCTGGAATAGGTAAACTGCCAACTACTTCAGCGAGCTGGTCGAACATCGATTCTGGGGACCAATCGTCAGGGCGAAATACGGCATCCACAGTATCGGTAATGAATATCCACTGATGTCTGTAATTTGTCAATAGCCATACTAACATGAGAAGAAGGACATAGTACATCTGGAACTCTTCTGTCTGGAGGGTAAGCAGCAAATCAAGGCATTTGCTGGCTGACAGGATCAGTTGTAGATCTTCTGAGCCATCTGAAGGTACCGAATCAATGATTTGTGCAAATATTCGGTACTGGAATTCGTGTCAGGTTACGAATAAGATACAAAATATGTTCAGCTTACTAATTCAGTGAGAATCACGGGCCAAAAGCTCGTCATACTATGTGCAGCCAGGCGGCACAACAACACTCGTATGCACAGGTAGACTTCACATTGAACAATCGGAGATGGAACATTGCGCAGGATATCCACCAATTTCTCCTGTATAGCCGGAAGTTGAGTCAAGAAATGATTTTTCTCTCCTGTGAAGAGGACCAATGCAAGCCGTCGCAAGTTTAAGGATCGTAGAAGCATCTCATGCTCTCGATTCGTGAAGATATTGGCCGAGGGCGACGTAGCAACACGACCTAAAGCGCATAGTCAGTAGTGGTAGATGGATTGCATGGTGCGCATTTACTAAGAAGGTCAGGGAAAGAAGTTTTATCACTATCAAATACTGCTTTGATGATGGGTTTCCACTTCATAGCAACGCTAGAATTCGAGTTGAAGATGCGATGATCGTAAAGGACATCCATCACTGCCACTCGCCAAACCTTCATCGCAGGTGGGATTTTGATCATCTCCCGAAATATGTCGACCACAACCACATCAGCATCCAGAGGCCTGTCATTGAGTTGAGAGTGTTTAACATCTATTGTCAAGAGCAAAGCTTACCTGGCCTTCATTTTGATGCCTGGGCTCACGATGTAATACACGATGTTGCTACAAGCACTTGCTACCTTGTCGTTATCCATCAAAAATCGGCGCAGCTCTGGAACAACTGTTGATGCTATGAATACGGTGATCTGATAGACAATTTCAACCAACAAGATCTCGCAGCCGACAAACAACTTACCTGGGAGGGTAACTCTGCCCCCCAAGTCGGCTTGCCATTGTCCGAAGGCGTAGCAGTACTGGAATCTGGTTTCTCGTCCTGCTTCGAATCTGAGACTGGACTCATCAGATGGTAGAAAAGATCGTCGCAAATGTGGATAACTAACCACCACGGAGAGCAGGGGAGGATCGACCATTTGTGACCGACTCTTTCGTGGTACGCCTTATCCAATTTGGTTGATCTGTCGATTTACCTACAAAAGTAACGCATGCATCAAGGAGCTTTCCAAAAGTTTCCTACGAATGGATGTGAGCAGGCCATAACTCGTAGAATAGCTTTGAAAGTACGGACCTGGAGATCTTTCCTGATGCGTTTGTCATCTATGGCAGTGGTCTGAGTAACTTTGTCGCCTAAAACGCACAAGCACCTGATAAACAGTGAGCAACGAATGACGATTTTCAAAAATACACACTTCAATGCCAAGAAGACCTGGACCTTGAAATCCCGACTTGACGCCAGGTCTTTCGCGAGCTGCATAAATCGACTCCACACTTGAAGAGCCAGAGGCCCTTCAAGCCGTTGGAAATATCGCTCCAAGAAGTTGAATAGGACGATGTCGGATCTGTCAAATAATACATTTGGTGTCCACTCATCCACTGTGTTGATTAATAACTCACAGATTTGCATTTGCGGGTTTCCTACTGCGCTCCGAGGTGTTGGAAATGCGAATTGATATACTATCGCAGATCATATGCACCGCGTTTTGTGCACTAGCGATCAAGACATCAACCAAGCCAAAGATACCTGTCGCAGGCTGGTCAGAGCCCTTGGAGCGCAGCAATGCATCATGATCCCAGCATTCAATGACGGATTCCAACACTTCCGTAGGGTAAGCGCGGAATAGGTGCTCCAGGACTCTTCGACAGCGAGCATGTGTCCGATTATAAATCATAGACAGCGAATCCGCCTCTGGCCGCAGGCCAGTGGTGTCACGCCACACCATGTTAACCCATATCGCGAGTAACACACGAATGCCATCATGAAGAGATTTGTACCCAGGTGAGTGTGACTGTACAACTGTCAGCTGTAGTAAACTATACACGAAACATCCCCAAATTACTCGCCGTCAGCTGATCTTCGACAGCAGCAGATGCGTTATCTGTGGTGAAGACATTTGAGACATATCCCAAGATACCTCCCGACTCAGCCCCAGGTTTTTCCTGAACTGGAGTGTCATCCTCTTGTGAATTAGCATCTGACTTTTGAGTCAATCCAAGCACAAGTAACCGCTCGAGCGCGTTGAGAAGCATGGTGAATTCAGCATCAGTCGCAACCCGAGGATACCTCTCGTTAGGTATTGGCTGGCTCGCTTTTAGTGCATCTGAGAGGAGCAAGCGTAGTTGTCGGCAAAGACAATCAGCAATAGGAGAAATAACGCTCTGAAGGGCAGGTTGGAACTGGGGAACCGCCATCAGCACAAAATCTAACCAGTGCTGCATCACGGGACGATTCAGCGGGATCGTAATACCATCTATGATGGTTTGTGTTAGCAGGGAGTTGACAGTGTAACCCCTTTTCCCTGATTCCTGCGACCCTTCTGTACTTCGATCCTCGGGAGGCGAGTTCCCGTTGTAGGCGTAAGATGTCGAGGCTGATATAATGGAGTGGAGGAACCGCAGTAACTTGTTTTGCAGGTCTAACCGATGCAGATGGATGCAGAGGAACAGTTTGCCGATGACTGTTGGTTCGAGAATTTCAATGGCGAGCGTTTCAATCTCTCCGCGAGCCACAATGGTTTGGAGAAGGTCTATGGCGGAGGATTGTATGACCGTGTTTAGTGGATGCATAACCGGAGCATCTTGATCTTTGGGTTCGGATTGAAGGAACCTGTGCGAGAATAAAACGCAGTGACGAAATAGGGGATGTGACTCACCTCGATAATACCTCGATGAGTGCATCTAGGTAGCTTGCATTGGCGTCCACCCCAGCTAGAGATAATTCGTTAAAACTACAACGACAAAACAGCATCGATAACCATTACCTAAGCTAAGCCTCTGGAGCAACACGGGATCGCATGAACGCCTTAAGAAGGTGCCGCGCGCAGACTTGGAAAAACCTTGACCACCAAATTGGACGATTGAGAGCAAAATCTCGAGAAGGTGAGCGACATAGCGCTGGTCAAATGACCTCTCGTAAACGAAGCCCCTGATTTCTTTGCCGCTCACTCTGCTAATTCTGGATATTCGATGAATAGAAGGGTCCAGAAGATCGCGGAGAACAGGTTCCAAGACCCTTTTAAATTCGTATAAGCCTTCCACCAGGCCACTAGATTAGAAAGTAGCGTTACCTGATATACGACCTCAAATTGCATCGCATCCATGTCTCTCCAACGCGTCGTAGGGTTGGATCATCGTGCTTCAAGGTCTCCAAAACTATCATCAATGGCACCTTCAAGCGCACTCCAGGAAGTGATTCATCCTCTGAGAAAGTTCAGTCAGCATGATGATGGCATGACGCATGTTTACTTACCTGACAACCGCCAAAGTACTCCAAAAGCCTCGTACGCCTCATAGACGTTTCTCGACTCAGGAGAACACATGCTCTGGGCTATTATCGACTCAACTTCATGAGGCCGTGATGTTGATTCTATGGACCATATGAGACTGACAGCTCGCACATGGCAAGTAGCCAGGTCTTGGTGGAGGTATCTGAAAAGCTACGAGTCCAAGCTTTCTTAGATCAACTCCAAATGTAGTTAAAAGTACAAACCTTCTTCACCATGCAGCTAACGACGGGTCTTTTATCCATCGACAGCTTTGGGCTGAGCTTCTGAGCACCATGCAAAGACAATATCAAAGACACCACCTGGTCCACCAGGGTGAAACTGACGGCCTGAACACAGGTAAGCATCCCTGCCAACAACCAGAGAGCATCACATACCTCAAGGTCAAGACAATCGAGCATAGAGTACAGCCATTCAGAAGGTTCCCATGATAGACTAAGAGACGTGTCATAACTTCTATCTACCGCACAGACAACGCCCGACAAGACTCGCAACACCTGTGATAATGCTGCTCGAAGTTCTATCGAGCCCCCTTGCTGAGCCGAGATGGATCGTGAGAGCGCTTGACTTATACGGAACATATGTTCTAAAACAGCCACCAAAGGATTGAGCACCTCACTGCTCGGATTTGATTCAGTGAATTCAAGTCCGTAAAATGCATGGGCGAATGCGAGTGAGCTCAGAGACGAAGTTGATGTCTCAACTGCTGCATTCAGCCCGGGACGCTGACTGAGAGATTCTAGAGGTATGTGTTGGAAAATTTCCTCTTGCAGAGCCAAACATTCCCGGACAGAAGCTTGGGCAGCCTTGGATGGGTCATCGTTGATCTCACGCTGCGTCATGGATCAGCTGCTATATCATGTCCCAGAGACAACAGTCGCACCTGCAGCTCCTCCGTTATGGCAGCAAAAATAACTGGTAGATGAAGGCTGCGAACTTCGTCATCTTGCATAGGGAGTGAACGCAGTAGGAATAATGTCAAGTCAATTGCCTAAAAATAGTGAGCTTGTGCTACCCGAGGCCGAGTTGCAGCGAAGCTCACCCCAGTTTTGTTGTCTTCGGTCAAATCTTTCATTATTGCTGCCAGCAACTGCTTCCAAAGAATACTGGGTTCGACAGCCTCGTATAGCGTACTGGCAGTCATAGAAATCTTGGAAAAGACAAATAAGGCGCTCACAGCTTGAACACTGAGAAATAGGACATACATCCTCATTATGCTCCTCCGCGTCTCGCTGCATCAGAAATCGGATTGCCTTAAGAGCATCCAATATAAGAACATCAGTTAAGGCCGACCCTATCTCCCACTTGTCCAACAACGAAATGAAGATCTTGAAAGGTCTTGATTCAGAGTACTCCCCTGAAGGCGCAAACATTTCATCCTAATGACAATTGTTAAGATCCCGATACACTCTGAATTCCAACCGACCTTGAGCGTGGTATTCAATAACTGAAGAGCATGCTGTCGCAGGAACACGGTTTGGTTCTCGCTCTTCTCATCCGGACCTAGCAACCAGGTATAAAGTCGTCGATTAAGTGACAGATCCCGACGCAGGACTACGCCAGTTGCAGCCCTCATAAGTATGACGGTATCTTCCGAATGCGCTCGTTTTATAGCAGCGCTATCGACTCGCATCGACTGCAAGAGAATATCGAGCGCGCCTCTTCGAACCAACAAATTGTCGTCCTCGAGTGCAGCTGCGAACGCACGGATCATAAGCCCTATATCTCTACCTACTATCTGAGTGATGTCTAGAAAATTCTGAGCAGTGAAAGATCGTACTTGGAATAATCCTTACCTTCGTCTGCGTGTAATCGAGGTAGTCTGCGAGAAAGGAAATTCAGAGCGGTTCCGCGTGCCGAGGCCATGGTTATCATGATGAGCCATATGTTCTGAATGAAGAATACAGGAGAAACAGTTGCTGACAGTCGATCGAGTAGGCTTAGCACCTATACCAATTACATCAACCACAATCAGATCCGTGAAATGTAACAGTAACATACCTTTTCGAAGAATTCGCCAGTCTCCTCTTCAAGACCCGGAAGTAGGGCAAGGATGAACGACTTCATCACAGGTCGTAGACCAGCTTGTAAAGGCAAGTAATGCGTGTCATATATGGTCAGCAGTATTGGCTGTCTCGATCAGTACTAGATGAAGCAGAACACGTATTAAGTCATACCTTGACTGATGTAGCAGCATACTCAAAGAACGGGAACAGGCCGGACGACCATAGTGGCAAATCCCGTTTGAGACCTTCCGTCTAGCATTGTGCAGACATTAGAAGTTACCACACAAGGACCACGTTACACTCACCCCAAGCACAGAAAGTATATGCGTATAAACATCCAGAGCACGTTGATGCACGCCAGTCGGTAAAGCAGGATTCAAGCACTGTGCCAACCGTTTAGCAACAATGAGCTTATACGGGATCTCCTTGAATTGCATGTATGATTGAAACGTCTGTGGGTGTGATATCACGTTGAATCAATGCTTCCAGCTCAGGACAAGAGAAAATACCTTCAACAATTGCTTCAGAAACGCGATGCAGTCTGCCCACTCGTGTACATTATCAAATGCATTGAGACATTTCTCCACTTGTTGCGTGTACTTCTTATATTTTGGATCAGAAGCATATGTTTGATGCACTGTAGCGACCCAAGTCAGCCATTCAACAACAGACTATCGGAACCTGCATGAGTGCGTACGTTTCTCCCTGGCACTCGATTTCGTAGTGTCTAGTACCGCAGCCACGTTCGTGCCTGAGGTTCCACCAGTGCTAGTCTGCGCGATAGCAGGGCTTTTGTTGGACATGACTGGTTGAGACGCGGCTGGTATATTGTTGTGTGTCCCGACCCTGTAAATGGCCTACCGCGAAGCACCACAAGCCGCAAACTCGAGTAGAGACCGCGTTCAGTGAGACTGAGGGTTGCAAGCTACGTATTAGTACTAGTTGTACCAAATTAAGGTCGACGGTTTGTCATTGGGCCACGGCTTTGTCACGAGAATTAACCTGTCACAGAGTCTACGCATAACCAGTCGTATTCAAATCGTATTAATAGAGAACTTGAAACAGGCGTGGTCAACAGTATAGTATGGGGTGACATTAATGCAAAAGATACAAAACATAATCAAAACATAAGTACATGAAACAAACCACCTATGACTCCATGTGCTCTGGTGTGTTCTGTACGGGAGCATCATTGCCCTCTTCAGACGCCGGCCCAGCAACAATATTACGCATCTTTGAAGGCGCTTTCACAGGATGATGATCAGCAATAATAGACCCTGCTCGTGAAGGCGCAGCCGATATGCCCGACATAGCACGGGCCGCCTTAGATTTGCTAGACCCTTTCCCAAGTAACGGTGCAGATATCGAGCCGCCACCTTTTGGCGTTGTAATTTTGTCTGTATCGCCATTTTTATGCGAAACTGCGGCTGCGGCTGTTACATTGGCATATTCAGACTCTTTATCGCCAACCCATGATCTAGCAAACCATCGTCCGCCTGCAATGCCCCGTATTTCGCGGTTCGCGGTTCTCCAACGACGGGTTTTGTTTCCGCTTCGGTCGAGAGGTAACATAGGTGCGAAGCCTGCTCCGATCTTTGGGGGCGGTTGCACTGGGAATGGCTTGGATGGTAGAGGGTAGACAGGGAGGGGTGCAGCTTCTGCTGTACCCTCGGCTGAAGGGGGAGGAGCATTTTCAGCGTCCTCATGTTCCGAACCCCCCTCACGAGTGAGGGGAAGTGGTGACGAGGGTGCGGTTCCGGCGTATGCTGATGCAGAACGAGTTGATATGAAGTACAGGAGAAGCAAGATAGTTCTTACATTCACTCATTGCTCCTTCATCCACTACCAAGGTCTTCGCCGCCCTGAGAAGTATTGATTCATTGATATATTTTGAACTCTGGTTTACACGTACTTGGGAGGAGCCTTGGCTCTGGAGCGTTGAGCAGCAGCAGGCCTACGAGGTGCTGCTCTTTTCTTCGGAGGGGGTTTGTCGGCAACTGCGGGTGTACTAACATCCTGAGCATCGGCTTGCTCGCCTGTTTCTGTTAATAGAATTCGGTTGATTGGAAAGAGGGGCTCACCATGGGGCTTTTTGTCGAGGTCCTTGTCCTGCTTTTCGCTCTTCCGTGGTTTTGGCTTCCTCGCTGGTGCCTTCCGCTTGGTACCACCAGTCGAGGCAGTAATGGCAGGGGTAGAAGCAGACTGTTGTAATTCGTCTTCGTCGTCAATGAGTTGGTCCTCCTCATCCTCTTCCTCAACGTCATCATCACTATGCGCCCGTGCCTGCGGGACAGCTGGTGGTGGTGGCGACGGGGGTGGTAGTGGAACAGCCTTCTTGTTGATAGTTGATACACTAGGTGAGGACGACTTGCCCTTCTTCTCGGTTACCAGTAACTTTACTCGGAATTTAGAAGTTCGAGAGGGCGGAGGAGGAGTGGCCTCTTCCCTGAGAGTTGAAATTTGAGGAGCATCCATGTCTACATCTTCGTCCATGTTTTATCCTCGAAAAATGTACCAAAAATCGTGCTGGCGGTTGTAAGCGCTGGCGTGGCGAGTAACCGATGAGAGAGGTCAAGTAGGGTGCAATATATATTAGACTTGCTTTGACCGTGGGTGACGAGACCACTTCCACGAATACACATCCACATTCACGTCGTGAACAACGAGCTCAATGGTATCTAATCCAGGTAATCTGAATTCGATTGATATCCTCGCCATTTAGTCAAATCATCATTAACACCCAGCATCCGTGTGCCATAGAACTGATGATCAGTTGGATTGGCAATATCCCAGCCGACTATCTTTCCATTCTCATTCCTATCCAAAGTCGCGCCCCATATGCTTACGCGGTTAGTATTATAGTTGTGGGATGCAACCCCGGCGCCGCAGGTCTTGCACCTATACCGTCGCTTGTATGGCTTGAGGAGATTGTCATAGAAGTCTAATTGAGACTCATGGGGTTCTGGATGTGTCCATGTGAATGCAGAAGCGTCGAAATGCATGGTATGAATGAATGGACACGCTGTAGTTTGAGAATTATTGTTCTTTCACTAAAACCGATGTGGGTCCACTTTATAAGTCAATTTCTGCCAGCTCGTACAGTGACAATACGCGCTCAAAATTGGACGAGCAGAGACAGTATATGAAATGGCCTGACAAACAACTGCCTTGCAATAGTGGGGAATGCGCATGGTCAGTTATAACTTGGCAAGCCTGAGGATTAAGGATATGACATTGATTGAGAGCATTGAGCGCTTGAGCACAGAAAAATTATGTCAGCGGGAAACGCCGACTTGCTCCGCTGAAACTCGCAAAGCAACTTTTCTATAGTGCATACTCCAGGTCAGTTCTCCTCGCTTTCACTCTGCTTGGCCTGCTAACGCTTGCTTTCATAGCATTAACTTTCATATCGAAAGTCAAAAAGGTCGAACGATGTCCGCCACACTTAATGTGCGCCGTTCTTCGCGTTTACAGTCTATCAAACTAAAGCGGCTATGAACTAGGTTGCTCGCTACAGCGCCCTCCTTTCAGGTGTTTTCTATGGCATTTACCACCGTCGGTCACTGCAGCAAGCCCACGACCAAGAGAAGGAACACCACGCAATACACCAACGTGAACAGTTGATTGCACAGGCAAAGGATGCATGGAGACACAAGCAGGAGGGTGCAAAGGGGTCGGATGGTAGTGAGTCGCACTCGTACTACTTTCCTTCCATCTTTTTCGCATCTTGTGCGCGTTTGCTATGTGTGTACTAATTTTCAACGCCAGTCATCACAAACCCAGAAGACCCACGATTCGACCTCGAGAAGCTCGTTGCCAAATGGGAGAAAGAGCTATAATGGTCGTGTTGCCTTGCTTTCCTCTGTCAACTATACCTATAGATCACTGCCATTCTCAATTTCACTCTTGTGGTAGACGTAAATGAGTCATCATCCGAAGGGTTCCGAACTGCTCCAATGATTTTGTTCCTGCTGCGCGAAACGCGTTTATCTTAGTCTCATGAGTGAATTTGAATGATATGCAAACGTAGCACTGGATAGTGCTTAAAATGAGATATTGAAGTTTGGGAGGTGTATGTACATAATCCGTAGGCGCGGGACGCGACGCGCCTTGTTATCTTCCTTTGTTCCATTGCGTTCTCGACTGACCCGGACCCGCTACACGCAATACTGCTAATCTATCTCATACAGCCTGTTATCCGAGATGAAGCCTACCGTTCAGGAGGAAGATATGGAAGATGATCTTGCCGCTGAGGAGGAAAACAAGCTCATAAACGAGGTCAGTTTACAAACTGCCTCAAATCTTCCTCCAATTTAGCAGGTCGATCATTTTTCAGGAGTATAAAACATGGTAGATAATCCTATTCTACCTCAGTGAAACGGGTTCCAAATCACAGCACCTCTTCAGGAAAAAGAATGCACCGTATCTGTATGACCTAGTCATCACGCACGCACTCGACTGGCCAAGTCTAACGTGCCAATGGTTCCCCGACAAAGACACGTAAGCATTCCATCACCGTCCTCCAACCTTCATCTAATCTAGAAAAAAGACCAGCAAACAAGCCCTACACAACCCATCGTCTCCTCATCGGAACTCACACTTCCGGCCAAGCCCAAGACTACCTCCAAATTGCAACCGTCCAAATTCCCAAACGCGACGAAAAACTCGACCGTGACAGCTACGACGAACAGCGCGGTGAACTCGGCGGACACACCATCCCTCCTCAGCCCCGCATCCAAATCATCCAGAGATTCAATCACGATGGCGAGGTTAACCGTGCACGGTATATGCCGCAGAACCCGGATTTGCTCGCCACGAAAGCTATCTCGGGACAGGTGCTCATTTTTGATCGCACGAAGCATTCGTGCGAGCCTATGAGAGGCGGTCTTTGTAAACCTGATATCAGATTGGTCGGGCAAACGAAGGAAGGGTGGGTGATTTGATTGATCCGGACGTCTCTAAGGCTTATTGCAGGCAGGTTTGGTTTGGCGTGGAACCCGGTGAAGGGCGGACACATTCTTGGTGCTTCAGAGGATATGACGGTGTGCCACTGGTGAGAGGAATGTCTTTGGGCACCTTCTCGTTGCTAATGTTCTTTAGGGATATAAACTCATATACGAAGGGCACTAGCACTATTGAGCCGACAACTGTTTTCAAGGGGCACAATTCTGTTGTCGGGGTTCGTGGCACCCTGTGCTTACAAGCAAGTTACTAACTATTGAAAAGGACGTTGATTGGCATGCGACCAAAGAAAACGTATTTGCTAGTGTGGGAGACGACAAGATGCTTCTGCTGTGAGAGCCGTTTATTTTCCATTTCCATCCAATCAATCTCATTGCTTCCTCAGTTGGGATACCCGAGCTACAACCGAAGCTACAACAAAAATACAAGCACATGACAGAGAAATCTTATCATGCGCATTCAGCCCATCATGCGAATATCTCATCATCACCGGCAGCGCAGACAAGGTAGGATCATACTCAATCACTCGTGTGGGTGGGGTTTATTTCAGCGTCATCTAGACCGTTGTGCTGCACGATATCAGATCGCCTACTAAAAAATTGCACACTTTCGAGTCACACACGGACGAAGTGCTCCATCTCGCATGGTCTCCCCACTCTAAAACAGTCTTCGCATCTGCTTCAGGAGATCGAAGGGTCAATATCTGGGATCTTTCTCAGATCGGCGTGGAGCAGTCACCAGATGACCAAGAAGATGGACCTCCGGAGCTCATGTTCATTCATGGAGGTATGTCATACTTGCACATAACTCTGTTCAGATCATGATACTCGATTGGTCCCAGGACATACCGCACGTCCCACAGACTTTTGCTGGGCACCAGGAAAATCCGAGAACTGGACTGTATCTACCACCTCAGAAGATAATGTGGTGATGGTCTGGCAACCTACCATGCGCATCTGGGCTGGCGACGAAGTTAAGATCGATGAGAAGGAACTCGAAGGCGACGCTATGGAGGGCGTCGAAATCACTCCTGAAACTGGACCTTCCAAAGTAGTAGCAGCTAGTGGTGCCAACAGTGCGCGCAGTCAAAGTATGAGTATCAGCGCGAGCGTTAGTAACTCTGGGGTGGATGTGGAAGTAGAGGATAGTTGAATGCTTGGTGAAAATGGAGATGCAGAGATGATGGAATCCAAAGCTGATCATGATGAGTACAATATTTGTAACGTATGCCCTGTCGAAAATCCTAGCTGCGGACTGCATGGAGTAGTCTATTATGTATATATTCCTCATCAGAGTGTCCGCGCATTACAGGAATACCAATCTGGCAAGCTCAAATAACACTGCAGTATTGTCAGATTCAGAATGAGTGTGTTGAGACAGGTTGTACTCACCGCCGCCTATAACAACAAACAGGATGACGCCCAAAGCCCAAAGGTTGATAGGACTTCTTTTTGCCATCATCTCCTGGTGTGAAGGCTTCACTGCTTTCTTGCCCGACCGAACTGCATTAGCAAATTGAGCATTCTTCCTTCGCAGGTCAAACTCAGTAGGCTAGATGAGCACGTTGAGTCAGGATCAACATAAGAAAATGGTTTCAACACAAATACCATTGGTTCAAATTTAAAAAGACGAAAGAGTGGTGTGACGCTCGGAGAGTATGAACAGTATGTGCACGTGTGACGTTGATGACCTGAACTAATAAAGTCTCAAGTACGTGTCAGTCCAAAAAGGAAAGTGGTTGTTTGGCAAAAGCTTGGGATCCAAACAACCGTATATTTGTTGTTCAAAATCCAAAAATGGCCCACTTTGAACACTCAGTTGCGCAGCGCAGCACGGATTCTCAAGTTGTGAACGCGATGCTCGTTGGATGAATACTACCTTACAAGTGAAAATACATGGTGGCTGTGCGACGACCTCAGATAGCGCGTGCTCGCTGTGTCGACGAGCGGAAGCTGATTGGCACATGGTTAGAGAACGTGCTGGATGGACGCCGAACGGGTAGCATATTGATCTGGATCATCGGAAGGATCCGGTAAACTCCTTTGCAGACTCCGATCTAGACTTCCGCGAGACTTTGAAAAGGCTTGTGTGGCACGCGGAGTCGCGGACTCTCGCAGAGCGTCAAAAAAACCTGGGCTAATATTTGTGCAGGTTCAACCACGTAAAAAGCGAGCTCAGATCTCGTCTTTTGTTCTCAAAGTTCACCTTTCTTTTCTATCTTCCTAGGAAGTCTCGTCGTGGCTGGAAATGCTGGTGTCATTGCAGTGCGAAACACAGGTGACCTTCTCGTAACTCTGGTTTACCCGCTGGCCTCAACTTTCAAGTTCATCTCACTAGGTTCACACGCAGTTGGCTCCGATGTTGTCAGCGAACATATCGATACTCTAAGTGTCAAGTGCGTCAGATCTTTCCTTCCCACCACCATTAATATCCGTACTGAATTTCGTTATTCACGCAATGGCAGTAATGTCTGTCCATGGATGGGGCGCAATGCTAAGAACTTTGAGCAATGTGGAGCAGACGATATGCTGCTGCAGCTCCTTGAAATGTGCACAGATCTTTCCCAATTCCTTCCTTCTAGCCAGAAGTCGACGCTATTCGACACTTCTCTTGAGGCTGTCATGCACCTTTGCAATGGACCAGGTGTAGCGCAGAAGATCAAGCAACACCTGATTGAATTGTAAGCCAGTACTTCAGAGTGTGAAATACAAATAACGCTATCTTCAGTTGTAATGTCGAGGGCGCGTCTGACTCTGGTTTCTTTCAAGCTGCCAATACTGCACTTGTTGAGCTGAGGAAGGTGAACGTACCTGGAATACCTGCTTTCAAAGACGACGAGGAAACCAACATCTTGTTCCGTGAGAATGATTCTGCGCGCATATCCCAAATACATCAGGGCAAGAAGTCCACAAACAAGCCTGACATCATCGTCGTTTCGTACAAGAGCGCGATGAATATAACACCGGAGGGAAGATCCAAAAGTCGTGTTTGCCAGTCTGCGTGCAAGCAGCCCACCGGGGACCAAGACAACTTACAATGGATAGAGGTGCGAACGACATTCGAGTTTAAACGCCCAAAGACACGTTTACCCCATCCGCCATCTGCTTACAATAAGCACTACGTAGTTCTTACTCTCCTGTGCACAGAATATATCAAGGAAACCGACACATCTGCTCAACCAACAAACTCGACGCCTGCTACTGATCTTGCTCAGACCTCCTACAAGACATCGAGTGAGTGTAAGCCTCCTAGTATGCATTTCCGCTACTGCCTTTGACTTGTACAACATAGTACAAAATATATACGAGCGACTCAGAAGCGACAAACGCGGCCCTGGTCATTTATGCCCCAATGAGCCGCCCCCCAGCAAACGACCCAAGCAGGACGAAGAGACGCGATCTAAGCAGGAGACGAAGAAGAAGAAACTTCATCCTGTCGCCCAGAATGGTTTGTATGTTGCGGAGATGTTCGCGGCCCATATCACACGTCAGTATGTCATTTCCTTTATCGTAAACAGTAAGTGGATCCAGCGCTATTGTCTTATCATCAACTGATCACTCGCTCCAGACGACATCATTTATCTCTGGTGGTTTGATCGTCAGCACACAATTCAATGTGCTGGCATCAACTTCGTTCAGGACCTTCCCCGCTTTGTTGTCTTACTCTTCATCATGCAGCGCATGGGATACAAGCAGTGGGACCTTCACCCATTGTTCAAACCTGAACATGGATACAAGGGCGAGATTATTGTCGAGCATGAGGAAGACAACGACAATGAAGGCAAGGACATAGACACGCAGGGCCAGGATAAGAAGATGTTCATGAAGAAGCCCGTCGACCTTGCATTAGATTTCAGCTCTGACGAGCACACGACTAATTTCGGTCTTCTCGGACATGCAGCCACTGTTCTTCCGGTGAAGAGCAAGGCGCTATCGGCTCTCCCGCGGCAATTCCATTTTATAAACCAATCCACCGAGCTTGTCGTCAAGCTCTTTTGGCCAGAAGAGGCGTGCCAGAGCAAGCCCGAGATTCTCGAACAGGTCTCTAAGATTGCGAATGAAGATCCGGATGTGTTGGGCCACGTTCCAAGAATGGTCTGGTTTCACAAGTTTGAAGGAGCATCTACGGCGATAGTTAGAAAGGCACTAGAGATTAATCAGACGGGCAGCCGAGTCATACAGATCATCGTGTTCAGAGAGCTCATCTCAATCACGACGCTGAGCGGGCCTGAGTTCCTCCTCGCATGGTGGGATATTGTCAAATGTAAGTGTCCTTTCCTTCCTGTATTCTTTATCATTTACTCGCTACTCCGGCAGGCCATCGTGCCCTTTGGAAGAGGGGCGTGCATCATCGCGATGTCAGCCCCAACAGTCTCACGGGATACCGCTTAGTAGACGGTCGATTTATGGGCGTCCTCAACGATTTCGACTTGTCATCGACTAAAATTTTTATGCCATCGATTCAAGATGCTCTCGAAGGCTTCGAGTCCACAGGAACGATACCCTTCATGTCGTTACACCTTCTCCTGCCGAAAGCCATTGCAGGCCAGGTCGAACACAAGTACCATCATTATGCTGAATCCTTCATCTGGGTTCTTACCTGGGTCTGTTTTCGGTATGAAGAGGGCAAGCTACTTAGGAAGAACAGACCACTCGATGAATGGCTGACACCGAATCCCAAGAATGTTTTCGGCGAAAATATGAGCTTTTTTGGAAGGCTGCGCAGCATGCATCCAACGCCATCGCACCAAATGAACTTCAATGTTGCAATGCAGTGCTTAGCGGTCGTTCACGAATACCTATGGCCATTCACATCTGTTCCAGTGGATGATGAAAAGGTATTCCTGATATGGCTTCAGAATCATATGCCTGAGGATGTGCTTAATGGAGATATCTTGTCTGACATGTAGGGTAGGTATACTTATAGGTGGAGCAGCATGCCTTCAAAATGTGTTGTTATATGCTAGAATGAACATCACGCTCGACGTCCTTGCTTGTATCTGCGTGTTCAGTGCTTCAGTAGTAATGAGTGCTAAACTCGCTGACTCCATTCTCCGGTCTCAAAACAATCCATAAGCCCCTTCATAAACGAGGCCCAACCCATCAAGCGTTCGCAGGTCGAAGGGTTCGATGACGGTATTGGATGGGATTCATGGCTGCGGACGAGAACAATATGCTGATGGCTGTGTGACCATTATAATTACCGTATTGGACATGATCTAATGTAAACATAGTAATTTGTGGGGGTTGGTCTCATTTGGCTGATGTCCTGACTATTGCGAGAGAGTTGCCAACAGACCCTGGTTCCTTGGGATGAACCTGCACTTGAACGGTTTAGGGCCCCTTTAGGTGTGTAAGAATGTGTTTTGGGCTCAGAGAGGGGACGAATTACCAAACTGCACCAGCACTCTCGAATTCTCGAAGAGGTGTGAACTTCTCCCCCTTTCTCATCAAGCAGGTTTGGCGATCGTGAACGCAGCCAGGATACAAGAAATATTGAGGTACAACGTAGCTTCGGCAATATGCGACCCTAAAATAAGATCCCACTGTTCAGTAGCGGCTTTACTAGATAGTGTCATGTAAAAGACACGCACCAGGGCATCTGCGGCGCCCGAACCCAAAGAAGAATTTGCGAGGGTCTGATTGAGGTGAGGGTCCGAGGAAAGCGCTCAGGCTTGAAGACCATTGGGTCGGGGTACATTTCCTTATTCCACGACATGGAAACAAGGTTCGCGATGATTGCTGCACCTTTGGGGATACGGTACCCTTCGTAAATGTCTTCCCTCATTGCGTGATGCAAGGGGCCTGCATCGTTGAGAGTGAGCGGTAACTAGGACACAAAGAGTCCTGTGGCTGACCTTGTGGAGTCACGGGTGCCCAGCGAAAAAGCTCTAAGGTGAGCGCCCCGATATACGGAAGCTTGTCTCGGTCCTCGAGCGTAGGAAATCTGTCCTGACCCACGACAGCATCGATCTCTGCCTGCGCAAGTTTCTGTACCCCGGGGTAGAGTACCATCGCCAGAATAAAAGACTTTGTGGATGATGTTGTCTGCTCATACCGATGATTGTTTCAAAAGTCACATAAGGGAGGATGTAATAGATATCTTACGGTATCACATCCCCCTGAATAGATCACCTGACTACACCGCATGGTGATATCTTCCTTTTGAGCACTGACCTCGGACCCATCCTCTGGAAGCAGCTGTTCTGAAATGAATGAACGTGTATAACTGCCACTTTGCTGATCGGTGGAGACAATTGGTTAGGCCTCCGAATAACTTGAACTCTCAAAATTGTTTAGCAAAGCTTACTATCTGCTGTTTGGTCCAGTTAAATGGTACTGTGTCAAGGCTATTCAACTTTTCCCCGTGTTCAATGGTCGCGCGCTTGAAAGCTGCCCCTGGAAACCATGAAGGTAGGAAACGCACTCATGGAAGGTTACTAGCTCAGTTTTATGATAACTCGGAAAAGAAAAGGGTGATTTACAAAATGGCATTCCTTCGACCCACCAACGGCCAGGCAGGCATAGCGTGGCAATGGAGTCAAAGGCTACTTGCAGCATACTAACTAAATGATCATCATTATCGGCGAGCTTCCAGCCATATGCGATATTAAGGAAGATGGCCGCTGTGTTTCTGCACCTCTGATGAGTAACGAGTAAAACAAGCTATCGCAGGAAATTTTACCTTCTGATGTGATCAGCAAAACGGTCAGGATCATTGTGCAGAGCGTGAAGCAGCACACGGCATTCTTCGGTTTGCACCGACCGGTATTTTTGTATAGCACGCGTACTCAGACTGTTCTTGAGGACTGTGCGATACGCCTTGAAATACGGGTGATTGAAAGATACATTGAACGGGTTCAGATTGCGCTTCGCAAGTTCTATCATCCATATTTTCGGACGATCAGAATACGTAGCGGCGCGTGCATCGAGCAATTCAGTAGCAGCTTTCAGGGAGCTGAGCACTATGAACTGCCGGTTAGGCACGCGGAAGGAGTATACGGGCCCTATGAGATTTAGGTCAGCAAGTCTTGCAACAAGGCGGAAGGTTGGATAATGTTCACCATAGGTTTCAGCCCATGTTGCATACGTCCGCCAAGGCTCGTTCTTTGGTAGAATTTGATGGGCATTTCCGACAAAGGGCCTTGAAGGTGGCCCAGGGGGTAGTGGTAATCTACTGCGTCGACGGCTGTAGATGAAAAATGTAGCTGCAGCCACAAGGATTATGATTATGCCAGAAGACATAGCGGAAGCTAGAGTAACAGATAGATCAACTTCTGTGATTTGCTCTCCGAGTTCTTATATCATCATTTCATGAGCATATGATAGAAGCTTGAATTCGTGGTGTGCTGTCACCAGTCGGTTTCTGCGACTTTACATCAAAAGACCGCATTATGAGCGCAGTAGGTCGCTGGCTTGGGAAAGATGCGAGTGTCAGACTGGAGGCTTCGAGGTTCCCAATGCCTTTACTCGGAAGTTTCTACTACGAAATATGGCTAACGGTGCGCCATTTCTCACGAGTCTGCGTCCCCTGTGACTCCTCCGACAATTTTGGTTCCCTGGAATTGCATCACTTTAAAGTTCAAGCAGCAATTACCGTTTAAACCGCATGTACATCCAATGTCTGACAGGCCCTACTACTAGAGTGTTATGGGCAGAATGTAGTCATTTGAGGTGGTTTTGCCAGTGTGGCAAAAATGCGGTATTTTTTTTGGTAGACGTTAGAAATATCAACATACATGTAAGACCACTAGATTGAAGGGCGGGCTCTACCCACTGCCCTCTTGTATAGGAACTTTGAGGCGCGTAGCAACATCGTCGGCCAGATGGGAGCCTTGCCACCCGACTCATAAGGACCTGTCTAAGTTCTAGTCGTATCCTCTCATCATGTCATATCAGACAAAAGATATGCACTTGGTACCTGACGACGTGGCGTAACATTAGACCAGGCATTGACCAGGCAATGAGATTTTGCAAATCTCATAGCGAACAATGTGCTTACAGCTGTGTGCGAAAACTTTGTGTTTGCTGTCATGCAGCGGTCTTAGTAGTGGTAATGAAAATACAAGGAGACGCTCGCTTTATTGGAGCAAACAGTTTTGGGTGGAAGCCCTCACAAGGGGCGATCCGGCTCCGATAGTGGCCCTAACCTGTGCATTAAGAGAGAACCGAGGTGGACTGCGAGGAGGAGTGGTAGGTGGGGAGAAGAAAAGCAGTCACGGTGGTATTTGCGCGTTCTCGACATTTCCTTATTCTACATATACAGCTTCATGATTCATATGTAATTACATCTTCAACTTACACATAATTTTGTTGAGTACCATTTTAATGTTGCATTAATGCACACGTAGTACTAAGTACAATTTTTAAAATAAGCAAGTCAATCTTGCGTTGTAAAACCAGTTGGCTGATTCCATTTTCGTACCTCGACAAACACGGTGATCAGACTCGAAGTCATGGGGCACAAAAAGAAAACATCCTTAAAAGCAACGTTGCAATCCCAGCAGACTCGGCTCAAGAACAAAGAGAAAGCTGCGCATGCCGCTGAAGCTGCTGAACTCAAAACGAAGCATAAAGGCAAGGGGAAAGCACCAGCTCTCCGACCTACCATCCCGTTCACGCCTACCGATAAAATACTCTTGATCGGCGAGGGCAATTTCTCGTTCGCGCATGCCTTGGTCATCGATCCTCCTTTGTCACTGGAACATCTCCCACCATTAAACATCACGGCGACTTCTTATGATTCCGAGGAAGAATGTTATGATAAATATCCTGATGCGAGAAGTAAGGTGGATGTTCTCCTGGAGCATGGTGCAGAAGTTTTGTTTGGTGTAGATGGGACCAGACTCGAAAAATGTAATGCTTTGAAAGGGAGGCTGTTTGATCGTGTCGTGTTCAACTTTCCTCATGCAGGTATGTATTATTGAGATCATATAAACGGTATTACTGATGAGACATCGTGAAGGAAAGGGTATAACAGACCAAGACAGAAATATACTGTCTAACCAGATGCTTATCCTGGGGTTCCTCCGTTCTGTTGTTGGCTGCCTTGCAGCAGGCACCATTCCAACACCTAATCTGTCGCGAAAACCGAAGAGACTTGCGGACGATGATGATGATGATAATGCGAATGACGATGAGGGTATAGATGCCTCATCGCATTCTACAACGCAGCGCACGAGGGGGACGGTTCTCATCACCCTGCGCAACGTTCCACCATACACCAACTGGCAAGTGCACTTTTCATATCATCAATCGGCTGTTCCTTATGTTCATCTATGATAGGGACGTGCCAAGATTGGCAAAGACGCCTCCGAAACCTGCATCATTAGGAACCCCGCCGAACCCAAATTATAAGCTTCTGCGTTCATTTGTATTTCACAGGAAGACATGGAAGGGATATGAACACCGCATGACAAAAGGCGAGAGAGCTCATGGTCGAGGTACAACAGGCGAAGGAGGAGAGGATCGGACATGGGAGTTTTGCCTCAAAGACTGATATTAACCATTCTTCTATGAATGTGCGTGGTGTGGTGAACCGTGTAAGGCCAGTCAACGAACGACAATGATCGATTAGATGCTATGACGAAGCTTCCCCACTCTGACTCTCTTCCAGTCCCTTCTTCAAGCCCTCCAGTGTCCTCGCAAGTTTCCCCCCACTTGCCTCACTGAGAATTGCAGCCAACTGTACAGCTGGTGAGCTCAGCAACCCAACTATCTGCGCCCGCAGAGTGTCTAGCGTTGGCAGTTTCGATACGTCCCGCACACCCTCCATTCCAAATACCCGCCTCTCGATGAGAGCACCCATTACTACCAGTTCTGGGGTCAAGGTGGGTTTCACCCGCTGCATCTTTCTACCAGGAATAAAATTCGGGTCATCTTGAGGTTTTATTGGTGCTGCCTGAATAACCTCTGGTTTCTTGGGAGGCACTGAGCGATCAAGAGCACGTAGAACGGCATCGAGTTGGGGAGGGTTGAATGATGGTAGTGTTAGGACAGCAAGACCGCCCTTAAGCAATCCTGCAATTTGAGCTGCTTTATCCGTGTCTAAAGGCGCAAAGTCTCGTAACGCAACGCCAAAAAGCGAGGTCCGCATCACGGCTAGCGTAGGAGCACCAATTTCAACTGGAGAAGGTGTTGGAGAGGATAATGAGACCGAAAACTTGGCGTTTGCATCGGCTATATCCCGTCTCAGCTTCTGTAGCCGCTGAGCCGCGAAATTGGTGTGCTGGAGAAATATTATGGGGGAATTATCGCTAGCTTCGAGCATGCGGGTGTATTGGTTGTATAAGAATGTTTTTTGCACACCGTAGCGACGCGGCGTCGGTTTGCTCTCGTATACACGAGGAGGTTTTACGGACACGACATATCCTCGAGCCGTTCGTGGTATTGATGAAGAGATAGCAGGCTTCACGCAAATCATGGCTTAACGTTCGTTGAGCAGAAGACTTGAATAATTTGTTCTTTTAGTCACGTGGCCACAAGGCACAGCGTGACACACTGTCACGCCCTCAACTGGTTGGTGTTGTCTTTCTTCGAAGTTGTTAACTTTTTGGGCCTTTGAGAGGTTGCTAAAATCGTTGTAATGTTAGTTCATCCCATGAGGCTGAAAGCAAATAATTAACATGCACCTCGCTAGGGACGACGACGACGCATTCCTGTATGGCGAGCCCAGCTTCCAAGCAGAGGCACCGAAGGCAGATTTAGCAACAGATTCTGGTGAGAACAGCTCAAACTCTTCCCAGAGTCTCTACTCCTTGTATTTATCATGCAACATGAACTTATCATTTGTTGTCTGATGTGCGATTAGTGGTGCAAGCGTAAGTCATCAATAGTGCGTGAAACTGTCGTTATTGAATTCTCCTTGTTGCAGAATATCGTTTGAACCTGTGAATGCAGTTTCAAATAGGTGTAGTCAAAGACATCGAAGCCAAGGCGGAAGAAGAAGAACCGCCCTTTGGTCTGGGTGTGGACGAGTCCGAAAATGGGGATGATAATGCTGCTGGAGAGGAAGAGTCGAGTGACGAAGATGATGTGCGTGAAGTATGAACCTGCCGAGCTCTAACAGCTAACATCCCTTCAGGACATTGAGATCATCATGGACCAACCTATACGGTCTATAGATAACCGGTGAGCTTCATGTTGGATTGAGTCGCTTCACTCTTAACTTGTTTCAGGCCAAATGTTCCTCCTCGAGCTCCTCCTTTAAACCGTTCCACAGGTGGCCCGCAATCCACTCCCAACAGACGTTCGTTTATCCCAATTATCTCTTCTCTCATGAAAATTGACGCCTCACAAAGCTCCTCCCACACATTCACAGTTGACTACTGAATACACGCCTCGTGATAGGAATGCACCACCTTCAAAAGCACCTCTTGTTCATTCAGGAGGCACACCCCAAACACCTTCTGTGCCACGAGAATCGGTCTCTGCTGCACCAGAACAGCCAGTATTTCATGAAGGCCTGGATCCCTCGACTCTTCCTCCTGCTATCGCACCACCTTCACATCCTTCTATAAATCCAGATTTGCCTGGTATCCTTGACGGACACTCGATACTTGAAGTTGATATCAGCGCAATGGCAGAAAAACAGTGGCGACTTCCTGGGGCTGATATCAGCGACTGGTTCAACTATGGATTTGATGAAATCTCTTGGGAAGCATACTGCTACAGAAGACGGGACTTGGGTGAACTTGCAAATGTCCTCAAGACCAACGTACTCGTATGCTACATAGTGATTTGTTTGGTCCATAGTCCTTACTTTTCTCTAGAATTTCGCAGCTATGCCAGAAGACCAGCTAATAGCCTTACCCCCTGAACTCCGTACGATGGTCATGACGGGCGCCAACGCCATGATGAATACTGCCAGCCAGGGCATGATGGGACCAAGCGTCGGAATGAATCCCATGATGGAAATGCCCGGCATGGGACCTATGAACATGGGACCGATGGGCATGGGCATGAATGGCGATATGGGTATGCAGATGCAGCCGGGAGGTCCGTTGATGCCAGATGTCCCCGTCTCTGGCCAGGTTCCAGTAGGGCAGAACGGCACGCCGGAGCAGGGTGTGCAGATGGGCATGCAGGATAGCTTCGGGCCGGGGATGATGGGCATGGGTGGCGATTTCGGTATGCAGGTATGGGTTAACCCTTACTCTAGATACGTACAGCCAATGATATGAACATCGCATGAATGTGTTTGTTTTTCTAAGCAGGAGCAAGGGCCGATGGGGCAGCCTATGTATCCCAACAACATGGAGGGCAGTGCGACGCCGGCACCGGTCCCTGTGCAAACGCCGGTGCCCACACCAGCTCCTACAGCGCCTGCACACATGGGCCGTGGGGCACCCCCGGCACAATTCAGAGGTCGTGCAATGGCTCAAGGCCTACGCGGGAGAGGCGGTTTTGCTGGACGGGGACGAGGAGGGTATAGCGGAGGTGTGATTGTCTGATACGGTTGTTTTCGGTGTACTAATTATCATTGTAGCTCCAGCAGGACCTGTCCGCCCAGCTTCGCCGTTACCGCCCGGCGTGCCAACCGGTCCCCGCAACCAGAACAGATACAAAGACAGAGATAACAATGCGCCTGCAGTCGAAGGTCTTGATTATGGAGGTACGATAAAGGATGTCGGAGGAAGGACGCCGTCAGGGGAACCAGAAGATCGCCTTGGCCGGTGAGTGGAGTTGTATTTCATCCACGACCTCAACGTTCACATGTCATGCAGGAAGCGGCGACTTTCACCTGGTTTGGATGACACTCGGGGATCTAAAAGGCGCTGAGATGCGCACATATGTATACGCTCTCATTATTGTATCTCACTCTTGGCATTGTGCACGCTGTTAATGCTGGCGTGAAGATTGTTGTTGGACATTGGTGTAAGCCGAAGATGGAAGGCGTGATTAGCGAGATATTAAGTGACTTATTTATAGTACAAAGTTAACTTTGGAGCTTATCAGAGTCCCTATGAAGCTTACAACCATTCTTTGTTCCCTTTGTGTGAAATGAACGCGCCTGTGTCGTCGATGGTCATCCGATTGATGACCTCGAGCTGCATTCGGACGGATGTCTCCGGCATAATTGGCCCTGTGAAATCGGGGTAGACGTTTTTGAATCGCTCAACCATCGCCATGAACTCTTCCAGTTCCTTCTGAGTGGCTAAATTGGCAGTCATCAGCTGCATTAACTGAGAGAAAGATGAAAAAACGTACGAGCCCTGGTGCTGGTATCCACAAGTCCTGGGCTAAGCGCCAAGAAGACAAAGCCCTCTGACTTGTATTGAGCAGCATACTTGGCATTGACCATATTAACCGCGGCTTTGGAGATGGAGTACGGCGCAGCAGTGGGGAAATCAGCGCCCATCGTCACATCAAGATCTCCCAATCCGCTAGTGATGGTGATGACCTTTTTTGCTTTCCCGTTCTTGAGGAGCGGGAGGAAGTAATTGATGGTGTGGATGACGCCGACGACGTTGACGTTGAACTACAAATGTCCATTAGCTTTCGCATGCGAAGAGAGAGCCGTTTGAGTTGCATACCGAATCGAGGAGATCCTTAGTGAGCAACTCTTCTGAGGGGCTAAATGCGACTCAGCGCCATTTCCAAGAATGCAAAGCAGACGAGTCTTACTATGAATCGAGAGTCAGTCTAGCTCTCTCAGGTTCTACAAAGCCAGCGTTGTTGATCAAATAGTCAAGCGAGTTGCCTGTTGATCGAGAAACCTCTGCGGCAGCGTTCTAGACAAAGCATCAGTGAAGCCCCTGTCAAAGGCGTCAGGTACCCCACCTTCAGAGCCTTGTTGTCGGTTATATCAGCTTCGATAATATGGATATTATGCCTTCCCAGCTCCGCGAGCTTGTTGGCAGTGGCCCCACTGCGTACAAGGGCGAAAATGGTGTTCCCAGAATCAGCAGAGAGTTGATTGACAAATTCAAACTGGTCAAAATCAAAGATTGTCAGGAACGTAGTATCATAGCCTGATCTGCACGTACGCCGATCCCCCGGGCTGCTCCTGTTATGGCGTATGATGGCATCTTTGCTGGTTTGCTGGTGAGATGAGCTGAAGAGATAGAACCTTTGACGGGGAATGTGCCACTCAGCGGTGCACTCTGGACTGGACCTTTAATAAGTCTCCTGTCTGGTTCCAGCTGAGTCAGCTGGGACCTTCGGTTGCTCTACGTGACTGATCTCCCGGGAATCGGGAATACATGCGACTGACCGTACGTTGGATTGAGTTATAATATTCGTTAAACGGGGTATCCTGGCGTAGTCATCACCTCTAAGCCAAGGTCTGTGATTTGTAAGATGGTGGAACTAATTATAGACAGCAATCATAAATGACCAAGCCAGAGGTGAAGTGGGAACTGGTAGAACAACAAACCAAAACTCGCTATCCGTTGTTAGTAGCTTTTCCTCCTGACCGCGTGCTGCCGCCACCGCCGCCGCCACCTGAACGCTTTTTATTTGCCCTCGACCCACGTTTTGCATTCTTCTTCTGCCTACAAGCTTCGCAGAACCATGTTCCGTCTGGAGGCACCGTGAGGCCGATGCATGCAAGATGAAACTGCAGAGTTGGTAAATATACCGTAGTAGGACAAAGAGATGTGACGCACCCATTCTCTTTCACAATTCACGTCATCGCATGCGATCATTTCTCCATAGCTTATACCCTCGCAGAAGCAATAAGTCCTATCGTCACCCTCTCCGTCACCCTCGCCAACTTCGGTGGCCGTATCTGCAGCATTACCAGCTTGGGTTTCACTTGGAGATACGATCGAGAGGCTATGGTTTAGGACGGTAGCGGAACTAATCGATAGACCGGGGTGTGTGTTCCGTGCTACAGGCATGCCTGGACCTTCGAGTTGCCCGAGAGGAGGAGCTCCCCAGTCGTTGGCGAGTGTGTGAGTACCAGGAATATCATAAGAGTGTAAACCAGATGATCCATAAGGTATAGGTATAGAAGAGTGAGAGACTGATGATGAAGGGGGTGCGGGGCAGATGTCACGTCGGCCATTGACAGATCCATTGACATGCGGTTCGTCATAGGTGTTTTGATTTGGCTTGGAACGCCTGCTGGAAGGGTTGGTAGCGCGACTTGATGAACCATTTCTTGAGGTCCCTGCATAGGCTTGAGATACTGGTGCTATAGTGTGCGAGATGACAGAAAGAACAGATTCTGTGGGAGAGGCAGCACGTTCTTGCCTAGAGCGATGTGTTAAGATGATGAATACATATACCTGAAAATGACATACTTTCGTGAACGAGCACCATTCCGAGATCGCTGCGCGGTGCTATCCCCAGTCCTCTCCTTGCGCGGCGACTTGCCGCCCCCGATATCCACGTCATCTTCCCTCGTTGCTCGTTTTCGTTTTGAAGGGCTGGCTTCGTTATTTGCAGTATTCATGATTGATCCATAGTTGCCTCTTCTGCGACGCGAGTTATCGATTGTGGGCATGTATGACCGAACAGCGACATGGGGATAAGATGTCCTGCGGTTCAGTGCAGACACATCGAATGATGGCAAGAGAGTGAGGAGCGTTCTCATATGTGAAGTATGGCTTTTGAGGTTGTCAGCGGCTTGACAAGCTACACGAATCTTGTCTTCGCCGCCTAGTTTCAAACGCGCAGCTTCCTCTGCTATGTCTGTGAGCAAGAAAAGACGGTCCTGCTTTGACACGGTGCCATCTTCGATCATCTGTGTCAAGTTTTGTATTTTTGCGGTGATGGATGTCATAGACGAGGACAAAACTGCGTCAAGTTCACGGAGGTCTGCAAAGTTACGGGAGAGGTCGAGTGGGAGGGAGTCAAGAGTGTGAGTGTACTCGGAAAGTAATGAGAGCGCGTATACGTTGTTGGCATTACTTTCTTGTGATATTGGTGCTCTCGAGGGTGCCATGATGAACGTTGCTGTCTGCAGACGTGAAGAACTCTTGAAGTTGAGTGATCACTTTCTGTTTCTGCGTTGACTAGCGGCATTTGCCGGTCCGATGTTCACGATGCCGCTCGCCAAGCCAACGATCTTGTCTTGCAAATATTATTGTCATATGTTTTGAATGATAGGGGAGGGATAATCGATAAATTTATAGGATGAAACAATAGAAATACAATGCGTGCGTTCTATGCGTACGACTCGGAGATATGGATTCAGACACAAGGGAGATATAATCGAACAAACTTTTTGACATGTCCTATAAACCATAAAACAATAACCGATCCGCTCCAGTGCTATCGATACAATGGGTTTGGGTACATCTGACCCTTTGAGACGTGTGCAGTGATGTATCACTTTCTGTAGAACTTCATCAACGGGTTTGAGCTCCCGCCACTGCTCTGTCTGGGCTGGCTACTTGATTGGAAGCCCATGGATGAGCCCAATGCGGAGTACATGGCGTGCGAGTCACGGGGGTTCCCCTGCATAGTGGAGAACGCGTGTGGGGCAGTGGGCGCAGTGGGAAAGAAGCCGAAGGTGGGTGATCTGGGGGGAGTGGTGAAGTTGTTGTAGCGAGACATTATGCGCGTGAATTGGTGATGATGTGATGTTATAGCACGCAAAGAAGAATGTGAGGACGTTCGTAAACGGATGGTTGTGCGTGTTCCGCGAATATGCAGATGGTAGTAGACCCTCGTTCGATGTCAGAGGTATGCGTCAAACAACCGTTGCTTGGAAGAAGATCCTTCTTTTTGAGGTTGTTATAAGGTTACTGGACCCAAACTGGTCGTGTTGATACAAGTCAGAACTCACCCATGGCTATTATATACCAAAGGAGGGATGTTCAAGGAGAAGGAGCCCCATACCTGGACTGTCGCAAAGTACAAGGCAGCAACCAAAATAGGAAATGGTGTTGTTGATCGAAATAATTAGATAATTGCCTATCGTGGCACAAAGGACTGATTTCACCCGGATAAAGCGATCTCTGACACCCAGGCTTGATTGGCACGGAGCTCCCTAATCATGGTTTCATTTCGACCCTCCTTCAAGTTCACCTACATGGGAGTTGGACAGACTTCACATGGACACGCTTCATAACATGACCTGTCACGTTGATTTCACTCTGCCTCGTCGTGCGAGTCTGCGTCAAATTGGGTATAATGGTTTCATAAGTTGTTACTCGAGGGACTTACAGCGAATTTCCACAGGTTCCAGCTCGGTATAGACTCATGTCAGCGCGGCTTTCCTGTGCATGCTTTCCCGATCACGCCGTACATCCTGTACCCATTTTACACACTCTCCGAGGTAGCTATGCATCAGCACCGATCTTAGTGAGCTCCTTGGCACCACAGCAAGCTATCTTCTCTTTCCAGCGCTTCCACTCTGGGCCGGTGACAGGTGTTCTGATAACTGGAGCTGATGCAGATGTCTGATTGATACTTGCCCTGGCAACACTTTTCGCAATAGATCAATGGATCATCACTGCATTTGTCAGCTCGCGCACTCCATTGTCCGATGTACGTGTCTACATTGCAATAATCAATCGATGTCGTCTGCCTTGGACGAATTCATCACCTTTATTTTTATTTTATACATGTATGCAATGCATAAATGCTGACATGACTTTGACATTGTAGCCTTCGGAATCCCACTCAGCCCTATGTCATGTCCCACAGTCTATTCTTGAATTCATATCTCGCAACCCAAGATAGGCTATCCAAAAAAATTACCTGCACGGACCCACAGGCTGTCTGTCCACGAGGTTCTAGAATAGGGGTATCAGTGCACGAGCGCCTACGATACGCCGAGTTAGAAAAATTGAATGCCCGCCCGAGATCTCATGACCCTCGAAAGAATAATTTTATCTGTACCACGGCATGTGGTCAGAAGTCTAATCGATGCACTGTAAAATTCTAAAATTGCGACCATCGAGGCCAAAACCATTCTAATCATAGCCAATGCCGTCTTTTACTGCGGAGGCACCAAGCGGCAAAATATTCTTGCACGATTTAAGTCCTCCCATTCACTTGGTCGGTGCGCATCATGCGAGTATGTAAACAGGCCGCAAGAACATCAGTCCACTCGACAGCTTCCTCTTTCCGTACATTCTGACTCGGAATATACTTCAGATAGAGGACTTTGTGGATTTCAGCAGTGGAAAGCTCATGATGCCGCTTCGGTGTCTGATACATACGGCTCGTTATCGTGTTGGCTTTAATGTCCATGGGATTGCAACTTTAGCTATGTGAGAGCTTAGCGTCAACTCACACACTTCGAGTGTTGTCGGAATGGCTCACATGCTTAGATCTGTAGTACAGATAATCCTCTACGAGATTCAGCACAAAAATTACCATGTGTTATTCTGCGGGTCGCGGGTTTGTGTAATTTTTGACCTGGATTACTATCGTTTGTTGGCAGTAGAAGCAAAATCATGCCAGGGGGACAAACCCTAACCTTATTCTAGGTGCAACACCAAAAACGCGCACTCTTCCTGACGTCGATTTCGACTGGTTCAATCTGGGTTCAATCGATTCACCAATCCTGGCTAAGATCATTCCATTCAGAGCGTGCGGAGTTCGACAGTCTTCAATAAAGGCCATTCTTCTTCCAAGATCGAGACCCTTCCATACTACCACGGGCCAGTCTTGCAGTGCCCCAGTCAACAGTATGCCTAAAGCTCAGAAAACAGCATATTATGCCGTGCGTAAAGGACGTACGCCAGGGATATACCCAACATGGTCAGTAGACTGCACGCTATGCTCATGTCGTGCTCAGTTTCCTTCCTGAAGGCAGGAATGCGAGGCCCAAGTGAAAAACTTCCCCGGTGCTGCCTACAAGAAGCTCGCCACCGAAACAGAAGCCCTTGCGTTTATGACCACAGACTCACAGCTCAACCCTCCTTCAAGACCGTCCTCGTCTGCGGTATTGCCTCCTGCCATAAGTCCGCCACGGAGCGTGGCGTCAACATCGTCGACATTCCGCCCTTCGACTGCTGTTGTTGCGAATGTCAAAGAAGAGATTGGCTATGATGTTGTCTATTCTGATGGTGCATGTAAAGGAAACGGACAACCTGGTTCGGTTGCGGGTGTGGGCGTGTGGTGGGGTTGGAACGATCCCAGGCGAGAAATATCATCTGAGCGATGACACATGACGCTCATCATTACTTCAGAAACATCGCCGAACGATGTCCTGGAGATCAAACAAACAATAGGGCAGAACTCATTGCAAGTCGTACTTCATATGTTTGATAATATACCTCGCTTACTCTTGCACCAACTTTGCAGGCAATCGTTCGGACATTGGAGACCGCGCCATTCTCCCAACGTCCGCTCATGATCAAAACAGACTCAAAGTATTCCATACAATGTACGACGCGCTGATCTATGTGTTGGATTCCTCTCATTCTATTGCAGGCTTTGAATCCTGGTTTTCAAAGTGGAGTGCAAACGGCTTTCGAGCGGCTAACGGCCAACCTGTCAAGAACGCTGAACTGATCAGGTACTTGGCAGCACTGCTCTACGCCCGGGAAAGGGCAGGACCGAAAGTTGTGTTCAAGCATGTCAGAGGTCACGTTGGAATCGAAGGCAACGAGTGCGCCGACCGATTAGCTAACGATGGTACTCTAAAACCAGAGCTGCCGGAACGGGATTGGGAGCAGCTAATCCTTGACTTGGAAAAGAAGCCAACGACCTCAAGGATGATGCCCGAGCCAGTCAAGGTAACAGGCAAGCTAGTCACATAGTATGATGTGGCTAAGCCAATTCCATTGAAGTCACACACATCTACGTCGCGACAGGCCACTGCCATATCTATTGGCTCCTCTAGCAGGCTTTCACGGCCAACACGTGTTGCACTTCCTCCAAGAGAACCTACGCCCGAACCAGTGTGCCTCAGTCAAGCAGAGTTAGACGTCAGTAGTCATTTCAGGGTCTTATTGCGCTCACAATTACGTGTCCAGGCCTATGCAAGCTGCCTCCTGGAGATAGATGACTTGGAATCGGATTTAGGCTGACTTTCGGAGTTTGCCCTATAGCCGTGACACGGGATTATTTGAACTTTTATCGGCGCTTGGCCATACATCATGTACACTGTCATTGGTCTATGAATAAATTCATCAAGGGCTTGACCGCTGCGGTTCCCAAGCATCTGAACAACCAATGGCCAACTCTTGAATTTCATTGAACCAGAGGACCTGAATTTGTCACGCCGTGACCATATATGTACCCTTGCTGCATAGGTTTTTCTTCTCATACACTTGCAACGCCTTCGGTCATCCTGTGCCAAAAGACTTCGTAGTCTATGCTTTCAGTTGTTTTAGCTTGATGACCACTTCTCCAAATCAAGCCAACCCAGATACAAGCGAGACCACGACTAGCGCTAAAAAGCACTGGATAGATCATCTGCATCATGCAGGATGGACAGTATTTCGTCACGCACAGAAGCACACAGGCGTAGGCATCGTGTGTTCTGTTGCATACTTTGACCCGTAAGTCATCTCACTGGTCAGGTAGCTGGCACGGTCTTACCTGGATCAAAGTGGCAATTGGGGAGTCGATCTTCAGGCAGGGTCACAATATGGCTATAGCCTTCTCTTCGTCGTACTTTTGTCAGGACTATTTGCTGCATTTCTTCAAGTGAGTACTAGGACATTTGATGTAATAACTGTCCAAGTGACTTATCGAACATTTCACAGGTTCTTGCCTGTCGGCTTGGGGTTGTTACTGGCCTTGGTAAATCCTTCTCCGTGGCAGCTTTCCTGGAAGACAGACACGTTTATTGACTCGTCATTTCATTTCCAGACCTCGCATCACACTGCCGCATGCTCTTCTACGATCGACCACGTCATAAGAAACTTTGGCGATGGGGAGTGCTTTACCCACTTTACGTGCTCTCCGAATTAGCAATCGTCAGCACTGACCTTGCCGAGCTCCTTGGCTCTGCAATAGCACTCTCTCTTCTCTTTCCAGCGCTTCCACTTTGGGGCGGTGTTCTGGTAACAGGCGCCGATGTCTTATTAGTACTTGCTCTCGGCAACCCTCTTCATGCCAGGCCAGCCAAAGTATTTGAGTGGATAATCGCTGCACTCGTAAGCCCTCGCCACTTGTGTACCGTACCTCGTTTGATTCAATGACACGAGTTTAGGTGTTTGCTGTGCTAATTTGCATGGCGGTGATTATCGGGAAGATCGATATTGCCTGGGGTCCAGCCTTCGATGGATTCGTTCCTTCTAAGACAATTTTTGCCAGCGGCGCTCTCTATACATGTACGTCATATAATGCAAGAATGAAGATGAGTTGACATAACTTCGTTATAGCCGTTGGAATCCTTGGCGCCACTGTTATGCCCCATAGTTTATTCTTGGGTTCGCATCTGGCAACCCAAGATAGGCTGTCCAAAAAGTCGCTTGACCCAGCTTCTCCGCTTTCCGACAAATCTCGAGAACTAGAGTTAACAGAGGTCGTATTAAGGCCCGAGCGTTTACAATCCTTAGGACGAGCGATTTGGCGACAACTCCGGTCGTGGTTTGTAGTATCTCGCTCCGACTTAGAAGCGTTGGATGCCCGTCCGAAGTCTCACAAACATAGAGAGAACAATCCCTTAGAATTTGTACAATCTCATTTGTACCACGCCATGGTCGATGTAGTCTCCAGTCTGCTAGGTTTCGCCGTCATAATCAATGCCCTGTGAGTTTCTAGCCTGAACATTGTTTGCTACCATCGAGGCTAACGACTCCTTCAAAGTATACTAATTCTCGCCAGCGCCGTCTTCTATTACGGATCAGGAGCGTATGGATCTGAATCTCCAGCTAGCTTATTTGATGCCCATACTTTGATAAGCAATACGATTGGCCAAGGTATGTCATATCCTCCTGATATTGTAAGCTTCTCAAATCCTTGGAAATAGCTGCTGCATTACTCTTTGCGTTCGCTCTACTTGCATCGGGCCAAAGTGCTTCTCTTATTGCCACTGTAGCAGGGCAAAGTGTCTCTGAAGGATTCCTGAACTGGAGAGTTTCGGTCAGCTCTATCCTTTGTTCCGATGAAAATCATCACTCATTGATATCACAGCCCGTTGTACGGCGCCTTGTGACGCGTCTGATCGGACTGATACCTTCTATGGTCGTTGCCATCGTCGTGGGACCAAATGGCGTCAACTTCTTGCTTGTTTTAAGTCAAGTTATCTTGTCGATAATCCTCCCATTCATCATATTCCCACTGATATACCTCACCTCATCCTCGCGCATCATGCGAGTACGCAACACGGCTCCCAAACACGCGGTCATCAGTCCTGCCGCGGAACCTTCCTCCCCGCCTGGTCTCACATCTTCAGATGGGGACCCGGAGATGATTCAGACTGAGGACTTCGTGGACTTCAGCAGCGGGAAGTTCATGTCTTCGCTCGGGTGGTTGATATGGTTGGTGATTTTGGCAGCTAATGTGTACGTGATTGTAACTCTGGGCATGGGGCAAGGTGGCTGAGCTCAGTCACAAACCATGTACATGTCGAGGTGTGATTCTGTGCTTATCTATTTATGCACCTCAATGCTTTCAGCCTCATGTGTATTCTGTACATTAGCAGTTACGCATACTTCCCTATGAGAATTCGACATAGGATTATCCTTTAGTTTGTGTAGATTTTATCACTTGTGCTTTCGGTAACAGGAAGCGAGCGAAGCCCATTAGGGTGCCTGTAGCATCTTCATTTATTTTCGATACGCGCTGTATCCTGTATTTTATATAGCAGGTCTAGATTGGGTTTAGACATACATATAAAATTGCGAGAATGAAGCTGACCTCTTACATTTTGCTGGCTCCTGTCTTCAATTATCCTAACACACCTTCGACCTCTTTCTTGCTTACCCTCCAGCAGTGTCCTCTGCATACCATTCTCATGAGGACGTTCTCAGAATCTTACCATGATATGAACATTGGAATGGGCTCGAGGAGGTCAAGTAATTTGTTGATTTGAGCTAGTACAATCGAATAAACTTCGACATCAAATTCGAGTCAAACGACGACATTATAAGATATATGTCCTTCAAATTATGTAACTCACTTCCACTATTGCAGCAGCAGTGACGTATCGGTTTCGGGATGCTAATCGTCTATGCCCCAGGTATCGACTCTGTTGGCTTCATCAGGTTGGCCTCCTGCAGTCTTTCGCGAAGTAGCTCGTCACGTTCCCGGGAGCGCAAGTGAAGGTAACCGCACAGGCAACAGCTGAAGTAGAACGCGTCTGAGCACTTCTCCATTTCAAACGGCGCTCAGGATTTTGTTGTACGGACGAGGCCCTGAAAATCCGGGAGTTGCGAAATAGCACTGCGGTCCATGGTGGCGTAAACGTAAGGGGAAGTGGCAATTCCAGCATGGGTGACAATTGGTAGCCCGGACCTGCATTCAGGATATCAGTACGAGCCTTCTGACATGCTAATGCCTGAATTTTACCCAGCCCTTGAGGAATAACGTTGAGTTTGCACTTGAATGCACTACTTTGGAGTGTCATACCCAGGAACCAGGGACATCATAGATCAAATATGTAGGCATCTGCGGCGCGTTCACCCATCGGCACCGCTGAGCACTGAGGAACGACAATCTGCATGTACACATAACACGTATCTATACGGCATCTTACGAAAAGTGCAACAAGGAAAAATTGACCTGAAAGAAATAAATGACGCAGAAAAACAGTAGCATAAGCACAAGAACAGACAAGCAATCGTTCAAGAAGTTGACGTTTTAAGACCTTTTCTGCGAAGCCTTGATGCCAAGTAGTCAGCATGAGTACACGTCAAGAATCTTACGATCTTACAAGTATGGCCATTAGTTGTTGGTAATTTGCAGTTCCTGGTTGGGGGGCACCGGGTGGCATGCTAGACATGGGAGGTGGGGACATCATGGACTGAGGTGGCGGAGGAGGCATTCCATATTGGGATTGCATTTGTTGCGGGGCAGTGCCTTGACCCTGCTGACCCTGCGATTGTTGTAATAATGCAAGGATATTTGGAGGTAAGCTAGGTATTCCAGTGTGCACCTGCCCTGGCTGAGGCGTGGGTGTCTGAGAAGGCATCTGAGCATACGGGTTAGCACTGGGCCCAGGCGGAGGAGGATAGGGCGCTGCAGGTTGCTGAACGGGGGGCGGTGCATAGTATGGATTTTGGTGTGGGGGTGGAGGGGGCATTCCAAGTGAGCTCGGGGGAGGTGCTGGTGCTGGCGGTCCCTGTTGCATCGTGGGAGGCGGCGCCGTGCCATTCTGGGGTTGTTTCAGTGCTGCAAGCAGCTGTTGAACTTTGCGAGCCTGCTCCAATCGATCCCCTGTGCCCTGATGGACTGTCAGCAGTGAGACACTCGTAAGAAACAGATACGTACATTTTGATTTGCTGATGGCGGGGGTTGATGGTACTGATTGACCACTGGCGGGGGCTGGTTATACTGAGTGGCTGCTGGTGTGGGCTGGCTGTACTGAGTGGTCGCCGGCGGGGGCTGGTTGTACTGAGATATTGCTGGTGGGGGCTGGTTATACGCAGTGACGTTTGCAGGCTCGTTATACGAACCCGAACCTGAACCAAGCCCACTCGAAAGAGGACCGCGGGAATCAAATCTGTCTCCGTAACCACCCCGGCCGCTACCACCACCACCACCACCTCCACCACCACCACGCCCACCACCCCTGTAATCATCTTCAAAGCGCCCGCGATCACGATCCCTGCCAAAGTCATCACGCCGGTCCCAATCCTCAAATGAGCCGCGGCCTCGGCCACCGCCGCCGCCACCGCGGCCCCTGCCTCGACCCCGACCTCGAAATCCGCGCCCACTATCATCCCAGTCCCGTCCACCGTCAAATCTTTGCTCACGGCTGGCGTAGCATGTAAGCAGGATGATGAATAACATGTTAAATCACATACCGCTGAGTAGGAGGACCAGAAATCTCAGACTCCTCCCATGCATACGTGATATCCATGGTTCCGTCTTGCAACCCCTGGTGACGGAGACGGTCGAATGCTTCATCGCAAGCCTGAGGACTGTGAATATTATATAATTCCAACTACCGTAAAACTGACCCTAATATCATAGAATTCAACATAACGCTGACTGCACAAGCTCGTTAGGAAACTCATTGATCGGCAAAAGATTCAACATACTCAGCGCGATCGCCGACAGGCATGACTGACTTAACGTCTCCGAACTGTTGAAATTTACGTCTGACCTCATTATCGTCGATAGTCTGAACAGAGTCCTTGAGTGTGACGATTAGATTACCCTGAAATTGCTGAACAAAATTTAATTAACATTCAGTAAATGAGTGTGAGATTAGTACCAACCTGATTCTTGTCACGATCGCCACCCTGCTTTTGGTCATCGCGTGGAAGAGAATAATGAACATCGATCTGAAAGAACGATATTTTCACTGATAATTCTCGCAGTGAGGGCATCAAAGCTTACGGGTCTTCCACTTATCTCAGAACCCTGCAGACGATCCCTAGCACGCTCAGCTGCGCGAATATCGTACTGAACCGAGACCTTAGTAATGTCGAAGGGAGTTCCATTTATAACTCACGAAGGTTACGAAAACCATTCCCCTCGTTGCAATGAGATCGAAAAAGGTTTTGATATCTCCATGCTCTTCGAATGAACGACGGACGTCCTCACTATTCGTCTCATACTACAAAAGTAGCTCAATATTAGCAAATCAAATCCGTACCAGAGCACGTGGAGCTGCCTCCAATTCATTGACTCGCCTTAATGTTGCGTATAAACAAAGTACGACAGGGACGCTCGCGTTGGATTCGCTCTTCAATTATTGAATCGTGGACTTTGTCGTCTCGTTCTCGACGCACAGTCCGCCTCTGAGGTCGCATACCAAATCCACCTTCGTCATAGTTGCCGTCGGGTCCGTCTGACAAAGAATCAAATACTAGTGAGATCAAGTCCTTGCAACGTGCCAGAAAACCAAGCTGAGGGTAAGGCAGAACGAATAGACGTAGCGCAGCAAATTAGGAGAGGCGGAGATAACTCCAACTCAGCCGAAACATATGAGCTCCCAATCGTGAATTTCGGATGAGCACATTCCCTGGGCGATCTCAGATTCCATCATCTATAGTCTTTTCTTCCGACTTCACTGCTCTCGCTAAAAAATAGCTTAAGCTCGCGAGTGCGTCTTAATATCTGAGATGCCTCCATGAAAAGTTTCGCCGTTGCCTGTCAATTTTTGTCGCTATAATTTGCATCCCATGCGAAGCTGCGCCGCCAAAGTTCTGCCTGTATTGGCTCATTTTTCAGTCTTAGCTTCAAGCGCACCTTCATAATTACTATAACCCTGGGCGTAACCATCTGACTGGGTTTGGGCATTGAACTGAGCGGAGGGCATTCCACTACCATAATTACCACTGCCGTTCTGGTAGAAGGAGTCTTGCGAGCCAGAGTCGTAATTATTGTAGAGGCCCATATCGCCTTGAGGCGGCCCTTGATCATAAGCGTTGGAGACTCCGCCATCGTAATTGCCAAAGTGACCACCTGGTCCACCTTGGACGCCTCGGCCACGACCGAATCCTCTTCCACGAGGCGCCCCACCTCTGTGATGGTAAGATCTATCCGCCCCAAGCCCTGGTGGGCCGCCCCTTCTGTTGGCAGGATTATCGTAAACTCCATAGGGATGATGACGATTCATTTTTTTTTTACTGAGGGTAGAGGGTAAGGCGAGCTGATAATGTGAACGCTTAAAGATCCGGTGGAACACGTGTACGGGAAGGTAGAGAAAAAACTGCTGAAGAACAACTCTGAATAAACTTCTGAAAGTATGTCTCAACTCAAGAGGAATACGCGGAAAGCGAAAACCAACAGAGGAGCTGTCTGACGATGATGATGATGATGATGGTGGTGGTTCGGGTCAAAGCCGTTGTCAACGTCTAACAAAAATTTCCGCTATGGGTGAGAAAATACACGTAATCGTATCTTCCAAATGTGGATCATCGACGGCAAGTCAAAGTCGCTTGTGCTACTTACTCTGTGTACCCCTCCACGATGTCGAAGCAGTTTCAGTTCAAGCTCGTTCTTCTAGGTAAATCAATGTGGTTTTCAAATATTTGAAAGTTGAGCTCATAACACCTCTTAAGGCGAGTCGGCCGTTGGGAAATCCAGGTAATGCGAAGCGTCGTTATTATCTCGTGCGCAGGTCTCCAGCTCACTCGCGACAGCTTGGTCCTGAGGTTCGTGAAAGACCAGTTTGATGATTACCGGGAAAGTACGATTGGTGGTATGTGGCATTTAAAACTCTATTTCCTTCCACTGAACTCCTGGCCACTCAGCCGCGTTCTTGACACAAACAGTTACCTTAGAGGACCAGACAACTGTCAAGTTTGAAATATGGTGAGTCATGTAAATTTCTGGTGTTTGCGCACACTTAAGTATGGCTTAGGGATACAGCGGGTCAAGAACGATACAAAGTAAGTTCCCAAGTTGGCATATATCACGTATCACGCGAATTAACACACGGCGTGCCTTCTAGTCCCTTGTATGTTTCATCCTCTTCATGGAGCTATGCTTGATTTAGAAGTTCCTAGGCGCCAATGTACTATCGCAACGCAAATTGTGCAGTTGTTGTGTATGATATCACTCAAGCTGCCTCTTTGGAAAAGGCGAAGACATGGATTCGTGAACTGCAACGCCAAGCAGACCCATCGATAGTAATAGCCCTGTGCGGCAACAAATTGGATCTCTCCGCACGCAGACAAGTCACGGAAGAGGAGGCCAGTAAATACGCTGACGAAGAAGGTCTTCTGTGGAGCGAGACGAGCGCAAAGACAGGAGATGGTGTAAACGCCATCTTTAATGCTATTGGTACGTTCGATCTTTAGTTAGATCGTTGCGCTCTAACTTGATTCGACACAGCCAAGAAGCTTCCGTTGACTGCACCGCCCTCAGCCCGTGGTGCTCGTGCCACAGCACCTGGCACTACGCGACAGAATGTTGACCTTAACAGGCAGTCAACAACTCAGGGTGGCGAAGCTTGCAATTGCTAGATTTTATGTACCATCCCACACATGCCGCATGGAACGCCACTTTACCTTTATCTGACTTAGTCTGTTCTCGCTCTTACTAGCCGTAATCATGACCTACTTCAATCCTTAACTTTCTGTGATAGATACATATTCATATCAAGCCAGAAGGTGGGGATATGATCTTATGATGATTCTGTTATAAGCCAGTCTATGGATGCAGCCTGTGCTCTATGCGGAAAATATGGTATGCTACAAGTATGGACCAGGCGAAAAAATACAAGCAACTCAAGACCTAGCTCTGAATACAACAGTGATAGGGAAGGTAGGGGTATTTGGAATATAGATATTTAACTTCCTGTATACCTCTTGTTGAATTCGTCAAACGTCTCTTTCATATGTGGACTGTCAAGGGCATAGAAACCAGGTGAATGTTCCCTGTCGATCATAGCAGAAAGGCGCGACAAGGATTCGTGGTCATTAACGAGCACCGCTAGACGGCGGGGGCGGCGGGGATAAGGCGATAACGGAAGAGAGCGCCCTGAATCAATACCAAAGCATGACCATTGTAGGTCGTCGAGTTTTCCGAGTGGTTTAAGAGGAACGTCGGACACTGGACTGGGCGGAGTGACCGAGGGTTGTAACATGCCGTGCACAGGGGAAGGGGAAAGACAGGTTAAACCGTGTGGTGACGGTTCACCATCAGACAAGCTGAAGAAAGAGCCATAGATTTGATTGCTGCTTCTTGAATCCTCACGACACAACTGGTCACTGGGTGGTGACAGAGGCTGAAGTGAGTATTAGCCATGGATATCGTTATGGATACATTCACCGCAAAACGCTTGCCAACTCACCTTCGCCACATCTGACACAGAATTCCATATGTCCACAAGTTGTATGCATTCCGAATCAGAGACTGATTCGGAATTTCTCGCATCGTTTTCTTCATGGTCAAAGTTATGGATCCAGGTGTGAAGATCCTCCTTATATGGTTCTTCTACAGCTATTTCTGTGAGACGCTCTACGAAAGAGCTTGGAATCCACCCGAGACGGTCCCCCTCGGGACGCATGGCAGCCCACCATCCTGATTCCTCCATCTTCACAACGGTGAGAATCTCATTGCGGGTGAACGAGAGATGATCTGGATCGTCTGACTCGAAGTCAAACATACATATGACGTTGCAGATGAACCATTCTGGGTCGCCTGTGCTTGGCGTTGGACCTGATGTCATTAAACTGGAATCGGATGAAGGAGAAGGGGGATCAGGGGAGGTCGAACAGTGAGCCAGAGGAAGCGAGGAGTCTATCAACACTCGGAGGGGCTGCCGTTGTGGTCGCGAACATGAGGCCAGCATCGTAGCAGGTGCTGCGGGTTTCGAGGAGAAGAAGAAATCCCTGGATCATAAGGCGTTCGGAGTCTTTCTATGTATCAGTGACCCAAGTTTGACAATGGGAAGCCGCATTTATCATTAAGGAAGGAGGTACCCTGCGCAAATAACGAAATTTTCGAAAAGAATACGGGATACGATCAGCTGCAACCATCATGACACGGATTCCCACTACTTACAGGTGACATGAGCGCTGAAATCGTAGCTGTAGTTATTTGAGGATACCGGGTTGCAATTTTGACTCGATGATCAATACCTGCGCATGTGAACCTAAGGTTGCATCGCCGAGACAACCGTCAAATCGTCAATAGCCCAACAGTTGTAGTAACTTGAGACATGTATGGAAAGTAACCATGTGCTTACTTGGGCTGTCATCCGACATGATCGCAAATGGGGTGACCTCAGGCTAGTATCACTTAATAATGGATACGCTAGGAGACGCGAGCGCGAATGGGCGTCAGGCGGCTCAGTGAATAAATAATCGAGACCCTGGTTGAACAGCTACCTGTATCCATCGGACCTAAGGCCTAATAGATCAGTGATGATGTATTTTCGGGCATGGTTGCAACTACTTACTATCACCTGTTATTGTTTGGTCTTGTATGCTGCCCGGCCAAATATAGGTTCTCCGTGTAAGGGCAGGACTGCGTACCGTGACTGTGTTTCACAATCCACGATGCCTCCGTCAACGTGGAACACGGCTAAGGCGAAGGTGCAGAGCTTGTAAATAATCATGCTTTACATGTTTTCTGAACTTCGCCTACACAGGTGCAACTTCGGTATCCACCGTTACCTCACAATCATCGCTACCGTTGCTTAATAAGTTCTCGTGTGCTTTAGACTCTCCGTTCAGCGGCTCCGCATAGCGCAGCAGAAGAAGGAGGCCCACGCTAAGGGCTCTCGCAGGGACATCGCCCTTCTCCTGGAGAAGGGCAAGACGGAGAGCGCACGAGTCAAAGTAGAAGCTGGTAGGTTTCCTCTTGCTAGCTAGGACTTCGACTGTTCAATTATTTGGTGTGTTCGTGCGTGCAACGCCAGTCATCAACGAAGATTTGAGCCTTGAATTATACGAACTTCTTGAACTTTACTGCGAGTTGCTCGTTGCTCGCTTCGGCCTTCTTGACCAAAAGTATGGACCTCTATTGATTTGTTAGGCTTATTTTCCAAAGTTGATTTATCCGCCGGCAGTACTCGAGACCCTGATCCTGGGATCAGCGAAGGTGTGTGTAGCATCATACATGCAGCTCCAAGAACCGAAGTGAAAGGTGAATCAATAACGTGACATAAATCATACTGCTCACTGATGAAGTTCCGCCTCAGAATTAATGGTTCTACGCGACATGCTGATGCACAAGTATGGGCGCGACTTCTCCATAGCTGCGATGGAAAATCGAAGTAGCTGTGTGAGTGAACGTGTAAGTATATCGCCCGCGGCTATTTTAAATCTGGGCTTACGCCTTCTTCTGCTGCGCCAGATAACGAGGAAACTCATCATAGAAACACCCTCGGAAGCACTGGTTGACGCGTATCTCGGCGAGATCGCTAAAGCTTATAGTGTCAAGTGGGCCTCTGCTTCATCGGTCACTCCTGCGGTACAAGGAAGCATTGTGGTTCGTCGATTCAATTTAAAATCTGGATGTGATCTTACGCAGTCTAAAAGGATGGCCCATCAGGCAGCGACACCCTGGAATCGCTTCCGTTGTATTCCAAGGAAATTTCGGATAAATTGCCGGATATTGTAACTGAGGACGAAACTGGGAAGCCCAAGGCATCAGCAGGAGGAAAAACCTTCCAGATGGAGCTCTCGAAAGCGGAATCTGAGGATGAGTTCGCCGTTCTGGCACGACGCTTTGAGGAATTAAAGAAGCGCTGACTAGGTGTAGTGTACACTCCTCTGGGTGATGCGGCTTATCTGCTTTTGTGTATATGCGAACCTTCAGTGATTCTCCATCCTATCAAGCTATGTGATCACGATTCACGAATTTTAGTGACTTCCGGAGATTTCTATTACCCCCGGGCTGTACGTATCAGCTTAATTATGCCAAGTCAGGCGCGCGAATTGATTGCACTAGAGGCGGCAACCTTGTGTCGTTACTTATGTCCGCCGAATCCCATGGAAGGGTAGGTATTTTGTAACAATATAAGGATTACAACTGGCCTTGTCGGAGTGCGCCCACTCATGATCAGTGACTATTATAAACCTGCCATCAGGTTTATAGTTCTCTCATCCATGTGTCAAAATAAATATTGGCGAGTCTCTTCACGGTATTAACGGTACTGATCAAAATTTGAAATACTGAATCATATGATAGGCTGTCAGTGTTCAGACCCAAATTTGATATCAGCTACTAGTCGAGGCTGATGTATCGAACAAATACTGCGGGGGGTCTCACGCCAATTTTGCAGATTGTGAAGACTGCAACACCGTGTACATTAGCTGGAAGGAAAATTCGAGTGGATGCTCATGACTTTGTCCGAGTCGGTCGAGTTCTGCACGCAAGATATTGTACTCCGATTTCCTAGTTGAGCTATCGTGGCCGCAGACCACAGGCATGGCATGTTTTATTCAAGCGAACTCGGACCTTTCGGACGAGTGGAAGTTTTGGTTGTACCACACGGTAAGCATTTCAACTCGGCGGCGAAACGTTGAGTCAGAATCATAAACCGCAAAGCCACCAGATAAACGGACCGGCCTGAACGCTGAGCGCTGAATCTCCAGCACAATATTTGCGATCGGCCGCATGTACAGTATCAGGCATGTCAGATTCGGTTTTCAAAAAAATGAGCGACTACAAAATTATTTCTTGCATATACTTGACAGTGCTAACTGTGATCCGCCGACCAGCTGAAATTAGTGAATGTCTCTAGAGTGCGGCGGATTCAAGGTGCCATCAGGGCAGAGCCAAACTCAGGGGTCTTCAGACCTTACAAGCGTTAAGCCGTGTCTCTTTTAAAAAAATTTAACAGTACTATAGAAAATGATTTTTGTGGCTTGACCATGAAAGAGAAGTTGTTTCATGGAAAAGATGATTGTTCGGGCTGAGTCGGATAAGACGGGAAAAATGGAAGTCCGGTAGTCGCCGGACAGTCCTCGGGCACGTGGAAGGGTTCCAATCCGTTCACGCGATTGCAGCGGCTGGAGGTTTGGGTCAGAATGCGGAGCAGTTATCATGTCTCCGCCGAAAAGTTTATGTTTGACTGAATCAAGACTGAATTTATACCTCTTATATATAATCCCTGATCTATGGCCGTTACATCCATGTCTACTTCTATCCTCACCATGTCCGAGTCCTATCTTCCTCCTCATGCAATGGGACACGGTTATTCTGAAGACGCTGATTTCGACTTCGAGTCCGACTCAGAGTCTGACAGATATACTAGCATGTCTCTTGACGCGTTTGCGCCCAGCGTAGCAAGCTCCAAAACATCTATGGATGCCTCCATGCGTTCTCAATCCCCTGCTCCATCAGTATTCTCAGTAACAAGTTCTTTACGAGCTCAAGCATATAGACAAGAATACGGACGAGGCCTAAACAATTATTCAGAAGTTTACAGGTTACCAGCCGACGACGAAGAACTTGACCGTCTGGGTGTGGTTAAAGTGACCCCTTTTCATCCTCTGTCAGGTCTAACGCCGAGCACAGACAGACAACATGACATGTTTTGCAAAGCAATCGGTAAATTCCCGCCACCAATGCCAGAAATCATGGCAGATGATGAGTTTGAGGTTAAAGCCGTCCTCGACTTAGGTTGTGGCAGTGGCAGCTGGTGAGATTCTTCTTTCGAAAAATTTAACCTATACTCACATGTGCAGGATAATGGACATTGCGAGAGAATTCCCAAACGCAAGTGCGGTAGCTGTGGATCTCGTTCCCATGCAGTCAACGTATGTGCTTGTCTTAACCCCTGTTCATTTAACCTTTCTTGAGCGAGCTACTCCTTGACAGGTCTATGCCACCAAACTGCAGGTGAGAAAGATAGCTGTGATTGCTCGGCGCTACCTTTCTTAGCTAGATCCCTTGCTTTATTTAGAAGTGAGGTTGACGACATTAATCTCGGCCTGGAGCACTTTTATGGCGATTTCAACGTTGTCCATGTTCAATTAATTTCTTCCGGAGTCAGTATATTCAATATGGGTATTTTTTTTTAAAGTACTGACGTTACTCGCCTTTCTGTTAGATTCGGGATTACCATGGACTCATTAATCATATCGCCCATGTCCTCCGACCAGGTGGTCTAATAGACCTCACTGAATTCGCATTCTATTTTACGGGCATCGAGAAAACACCTATTTGTCCACCAGCGGGCACATTTGAACCGCCGTGGACACCTCTATGGATGTCTTACGCGAACAGAGCCGTCCGTCAACGCGGTGGTGATGCAGACGCTTCCTTGCACATGCATCAATGGGTATCAGAGCACCCGGCATTCGAGGACGTCGTGTATCGTGAATTCTGGATACCATTGTCGCCGTGGCTGAAGGGTAATGACCCTAACAGTATCTGGTGGAATAGTATTGGAGCGACTATGCGAGATGACGTCAAAGTAAGCCGACTAAAGTATAACGTAAACCCCTCATAATTAATTGCGCTTGTAGGCATTCATGAGATCCGGTCGCCCTTTGCTCCTCGGCAATGGATTATCAGAAGATTTTGTGGATCAACTGGAAAATAATGCAGTGGCGGAATTGGATGAAGCAATTACTCCTGTTTACGTGTGCATACAAAACGTCTATGCCCGTAAGAGACAATGATTCGGGCGCATCTTGGACCTATTTATTCACTTACCACTTTGGCATATTTGGACTCGCGTGGACTTCATCACATTAGAATACTGTATCATGAGATATTTTTTTTTTTTCTTCACCCTCATCACTGTTCGATACCTGCACTAACCACGCTTCGACATCACGATACGAGATATATTTGACGTTGATGATTACAGACCAGTTCTAATCTAAACGTCCCGAAGGAAAAAAAGAAAAGGGTATGTGTTGGGACGTATTCATGTCCCTGCATATGTGAACAATAAGACTATAACCGAGTCAGCTTCGGTACTGGGGTGGAGGAGAAGATAGGTTTCTTTCGGGCATGTCTATACGCGAGGCTATAATTTCCAGTATTCTATCCACTTCTGTGTCTGGTATCTGTCCAGGCTGCACCAGCCTTGATGACCTCGGAGAATTGTGGAGCTCCTGCACGGAAAGTGCAGGAGAAGAAATGCTGCCAGGTGGAGTAGGCAAAGGGCGTTGCCAACCACGCGCACTAGAAGACAGAGAACCACTCGTATTATTTCTGGCTTCGCTGTATGGGCCTAGAGAGCTTGTGGCGGACCCAGGACCACGTGCAATTGCTCCTTTACGCAGCGAATCATCGATATCGATGCTTCTGCCGATAGGTATCAATGGGAATTTTTGCGGACGAATATTAGCAGTGGTGCTAGAAATAGTGTATGGCGTGGCGAGTGCGGGGAACTGCGCAGCATGAGCCTCGGGAACGATTTCGTTTGCTAGCAAGTCGGAATATTGTCTTGAAATTGCTCTTTTAAGGTGCCGTGAGCGTCGCCAAAAGAGGAAACCAACGACGACTAAGGCAAGCACGGCGACCACTCCTGCGATGGCGCCAGCTATTTCAGCTAGGTTTGAGGGCTTCGATGACGATGGCCTTATCAGAGAAGCCGCTTCAGTTACGGATCTTGACCTTTTTTGATCGGTGGACTTACAGTGTGGTCGGTTGGGGCTGGTATAGTTTCACGGAGTTTATGGCAAGTTTGTTGCCGTCTTCACTCGTATCGGCAATATTTAAAACATATATTTGTGTTGGATCTAGGCTTCCTTCATAGAACAAGGTAGTATCCGGAATGAACCAGAAGCTGCTTGCATTGAGCACAGACTGGGTACCGTTTAGAGACTAGTAAATTCATGAGTAAGCTCACTGGTTTAAAACGAGACGTGCAGTGCATACCACTGTGTATTGCCAATTGCCCCAGTTTACAATACCTTGTACGACCACCGCCGATGACCCTCCGAATGTGGTAGACACACTTGAACTCGTGGTTTCCGTAAAATGGAAGAAGCTTCCAGGGACATGTGTATCTGTGCCAACAGACCAGTTCCCGGTATAGTTGAGAAACGTGGTGTTCGTATTACTATATGATACCATTTGGGGGGCTGCTTGTCTAATAGAAAGTTCATGTGCTACCGAAACAGATTGCGTTGACTGTTGACGTACTCAATATAGATTACAGCATTCTCAAATGCGAGTTGCTGCCCTGCAGTCGGGTGGGCAGTTAGAGTGAGCGAGTGGGCTCCTTCCGATAGTGTTTGCTTAGAGTAGAGGACATCACTGGAGGAGCTGAGGGATGAGGAGAAAATTCCGTCTACTGCGATATCGAACGTGCAATTTGCGGCTCCATGAAGCTCTATCCCCGTGCCTATATCGGCCGTAACCAATTTAGGATCGCGAAGGGGAAATTCATGCAATCGTTGGACGTACCATAAAATGATAAGGTAACATTAGCACCTGGCATCGAGGTGATATGTGCTGATATGCCAACTCCTGGATTCGCGAAGACCGTGTTGTATCCAGTCTCCGAGTACCAGATTTGCCACCCATTTCCCGTTCCGAAACCATCATCTGTAAATCGAGACAATTAGTTAATCAATACGAAATAGAACGCAGTGAAATAGCTCACAGTAAGGATAATACGTGAATACTGGACTCGTATCATTCAGAGTTATGTTCCACGAGGTCGCCATTAAAACGTCGCCTGATACAGTGACCAGTCACTTATAGGCCACTGCGTTTTTCAACGTGGCACTTTTTCTTGACAATAGTTGGGGATTGATTCGAACTAGCAAATACAGGCCTAGCTGGGCGCCTGTAGTGGTATTTTTTGATGTCGGATGTCGTTTCCAACAAACCAGGGTCGCCCATCAGTGCCTTCATCGCGATCCCCATCATCGAATTGACAGCTTGATGTCATTTATCAGGAATTGACAGGGCTGCTCGACCAGAAATCTGCCCACGAGAGTCCACGTGCCACAGCCCCTCCCCACGATATTCTACAGCAAGTCTTAGTCAGGGAGACAGAAGTTCCGTCAAGGGACGTACAGTGTTTGCAAGTGAGCATCGCATGAGAGACTACGAGACAATTTTAGTGTACACCGTAACGGCAAAATATTAATAACCTATCCCAAGAATATATGAGCAAGCTTTCTTGTAAAAATCATGCACGTACCAATGTCATTATTCAATGAATAATGAAAGCTTTAATATTGAATCTTTGGCTATGCAAATTCAATATCAGCGTGATGCACTGGTGGTAGGAGGAGATGAGGCGGAGCATCAAGTACCTTGTCTAAACGCCGTGCAACGTTACGATATTCTAGAAGGGTTATCGATCCCCTGCCATACCGCTGCACAGGCTCTTAGGGTCGAAACCTGGCTTATACCACCATGCATGCACGGACGAGACGAGCGACAAGTGGCGTATGTTCAAAACTTAGGTTCATTGAGATTGTGTACGTATAATAATCTCGAAGAGTACGTACGTTCAAAGTCCGTGGCAATTCTACCCCTTGCTATCAAAGTAACCATCAGCGATGACCCATTTGTTCATAATGTGACCGGTGAAGCTTAATGTTTCCACCGGCGACTGGCTCCGACTCAAGGGCCAAGTTTAAGTGTGCTACCAGACAAACCGAATTCAGTGAGCCGACTTTCATCTCCTCTCTCAAAGATTATTACTGTATTGCATTGGGCGAGCCTGCCTGTAAGTGTATGGTGACTAGGACAAAGTACACCGAAAAACTTATGCCGTGCCATTGTATAAAGGTTGGCCCTGAGATATATTTATACAATGACTATCTCTGTGTGATTGGAAGGTTTCCTTTATGTAGGGCTGGGCGGCCAGACGAAAAAAAAAAAAACTTTTAGGATGAGCTTTACAGCATAATTAACTCACTATCAAGTTGTTCTTGAAGTCCAAATCTCGTATGATACCTTCCCCATGGGCGTTGTGAATGGTTTTCGCACTTAATGTGGTGTAAGTACTGAACTTGAAGCGCTTGACCAAACAATGACCAAACAAAAATTCAGCTTGACCACGTCGTGCATTTCACAATCGCCGACCTGCAGCTCGTCCTTTAATCGCTGTCAGCAATGGCTTACGTCTCGAAAAAGGAGGACGAGAGCGGCCTTAGTTCTTACTATAATAACAAAACAACAATTATTCAAGAAGCCCGTGTTTTCAACGACTCGCCAATTAGCCCTAGGAAATGCAGGGCCCTCCTCACTCGCATTGTCTATCTGCTTTACATTGGGGAGACCTTCAGCGCGCAGGAGGCTACGACGTTGTTCTTTGGAACAACAAAGCTATTCCAACATAAGGATGTGTGTTCCTATTCTCTTCTCATTGCTATGCAATGGCCAGCTCATGTCTTGTGAAGAGCGCCTTGAGGCAGATGGTGTATTTGGCCATCAAGGAACTCGCAACCACCGCCGAAGATGTCATCATGGTCACAAGCAGTATTATGAAGGACATGCAACCAAACTCCGAGGTCATTTACCGGCCAAATGCAATTCGTGCACTTTGCCGAATCATTGACGTGCGTCTGCCCAAATTATGGAGTCCCATACGCTCACCGCTGTATAGCCTTCCATGGCTCAAGGTGTAGAGCGTTTCTTCAAAGCCGCAATCGTAGACCGAACGCCTTCTATCTCATCAGCTGCACTCGTGTCCTCATACCACTTATTCCCTCTTGCAAAGGACGTAGTCAAGCGTTGGGTAAACGAGGCTCAGGAAGCGGTCAGCGCAAAGTCGTCATCATCCTTCTTTCCTGGATCATCAGGCGGTGGTTACCTCAATTTTGGCTCGTCCGGAAATTCTAACAGCGGTTACCAACCTATTCCTTCAACGAGTTACATAACTCAATATCATGCACTTGGTCTTCTGTACTTGATTCGCCAGCAGGATCGGATGGCTGTGACTAAAATGATACAACAGCTCGGTGGGGGCAAGTCTGGTGCAGGCACGACGCTTAAAAACTCCATGGCTCTTTGCATGCTTATTCGGTATGCTGCAAAAGTGATGGAAGAAGATCCAAAGTGCGTCTTTAGACACGTTATGAAATCAACTATCAAATCCTTATCTTGGTTCTAGTGTTCAAAGGCAGATCCTTGATCTTTTGGAAGGGTGGCTACGTCACAAGAGTGACATGGTTAATTTTGAGGCAGCACGTGCTATTTGCGAGATGAAGAATCTCACTGCTTCGCAACTTACCAAACCGATAGCAGGTTTGTAACTATCGAAACTTTGATTACTTTTATCTAACGTGTTTACAGTGCTTCAGCTATTCCTCTCTTCTCCCAAACCTGTTTTGAAATTCTCTGCAACCCGGACACTGGCCACTCTCGCTTTGACCCATCCTGCTGCTGTGGCTTCGTGTAATGTCGATCTTGAGAATCTTATCACTGACCAGAATAGGAGTGTGGCAACATACGCCATCACTACTCTGCTCAAGGTAGAGATGAACTTGGAATAATCATACACTTACTAACTGATCCATAGACCGGAAATGAGGCGTCCGTTGACCGCCTCATGAAGCAGATCACTGGATTCATGTCAGAGATTAGTGATGAATTCAAAGTCATCATCGTCGATGCCATTCGCTCGCTATGCATCAAGTTCCCGACGAAGCACGTTTCCATGCTCGCTTTCCTTTCAGGGGTCCTCCGTGATGAGGGCGGATATGACTTCAAACGCGCCGTCGTCGAGGCTATGTTCGACATGATCAAGTTCATCTCAGACTGCAAAGAGCAGGCGCTCTCGCATCTGTGCGAGTTTATCGAAGACTGCGAATTCACGAAGTTGTCTGTGCGGATATTACACCTCCTTGGCCTCGAAGGTCCCAAAGCTCCTCAACCGACCAAGTACATTCGCTTCATCTACAACCGCGTCGTACTTGAAAATGCCACTGTACGAGCAGCAGCCGTTACAAGTTTGGCCAAGTTCGGCGTGAATGCGGTGGACGATGGTTTACGAAGAAGCATTGGCGTTCTGTTAAATAGGTTAGTCTCTTTTTCTACCCGTGGACAAGCGGTTAACAAAGGTTCTCAGGTGTTTGGATGACGTCGACGATGAGGTTCGTGATCGTGCTGCGATGTACCTGAATGTCATGAAGGAGGCATCTCTTGCGGATACTTATGTGAAAGAAGGTACGTTAGTTTTTTGACGATCTCTACAGTGCCTCATGATTTGTGCAGAATCTGTATTCTCACTTGCCGCGCTCGAATCCAAATTGGTTGCATATGTCAATGATGTTGATGCCAGTGCACAGCCGTTCGATACCTCATCGATACCGAAGATCAGTCGGGCTCAGCTTGCTGCCGAGTCGACCCGTCAGTATTCTCATGTTCTTATATTTCAAATTCTAACGCGTTTTCAGGTCCAAGCACGCTGGACACTATTGCTGCGCCCGCAACGAGAGCCTCAGCATCTCCGCCACCTCCGACCGCTGCGGAAACGCAATCTGCATATGCACAGCAACTTGCGGATATACCACACTTCGCAGAGTATGGAACCGTCCTCAATAGCAGCACAAAGCCTGCACAGCTTACGGAATCCGAAACCGAGTATCAAGTTACGTGTGTCAAGCATATATTCAGAGAGCATATTGTGTTCCAGGTCAGTAAATTGCACTGCACCTCGTGGCGTTGCATCTGATTCGGTTCCTAGTTCAATGTATCAAATACCCTACCGGATACTGTATTGGAGCAGGTGGTTGTGGTAATGCAACCGCAGGCCGATTCTGGCTTGACAGAAGACGTTGTCTTCCAAATCGACTCTCTGAGTTGCGCCAATTCACCTGGAATCGTATATGTTTCTTTTAAGCGTGACAACCCTCAAGAGTATACCACCACCTCTTTCCAATGTATCCTCAAATTTATTTCCAAAGAACTGGATCCCTCGACGGGTCGGCCGGAAGATGAGGGCTACGAGGACGAATACCAACTGGAAGAAGTCGAGCTTTCAGCCGGTGGGGATTATATCATTCCCAGTTATGCTTCTTTTTCCTCGGAGTGGGATCGTCTACGGTCTGGTGCGACTGCTACGGAAACATTCTCACTTGGTGCCATGGAAAGTATCAAAGGTTCGTTTCACTCTTTCTGTACCCGTCTGCAATTTTTCCACGACTGATGCAACTCACACCTCATTTACAGCTGCCTGCGATTCTATCATTGAGTTGCTCAATATGGAGCCTTTGGGTGGCACCGAGGCGCCCAGTTCGACGTCTGTACACACGCTGCAACTTTCGGGCCTGGTGACCGGGGGAGGAGGCAAGGTGCTTGTCAGGTGCAGAATGACTTTCTCGCGAGGTCAGGGTGTTACACTTGAACTTGGGGTGCGTGCAGAGCAGGAAAATGCGTGTGCCTTGGTTGTATCTGTCATTGGAGGTTAGAGTAGATTCGACACGAGGAACCTGTATCACATGGTATCCCACTACCCGTAATGCATACGACTTTGCGATGTTCACACGTCGACTGGGAGAGTAGACACTGGTGTTGATGGAATGGCCATAAGGAGCAGTTCCAGATTCCGGTAAATGCGGCAAAGTCTCAAGACAAAGAAATGGCATGAGTTTTAACGTTTACATGATTCGAATTGCTCAGGGAAGAGTTCGTACGATTTCGTGGTTGTCGTACCACGTTCCAGTGCTTTTAAGTCTCACATAATTTCTGTCATAATAGTCGTGAGCTCATTCGCTTTTACTACTGACTTTGATCTGACTGCAATTAAACGAAGTGTCATCTTGATTCGCGATGCATGCCCCCCTCCCACCACCGTCGCTGCCCACGCCCAAGGCCATTCGTGTCAATACTAAAGGAGCAGTGATACTTGCCGAGGAGTCGCCTGAGGTATGCATGGTTATCTGTCGAAGCTATGCATCCCTTAACTCCTCATCATAACACAGACTCGAGACAGTCGAGGGATTTACCTCCCAAACTACATCGAACCAGTCTCACATATCGCAATAGACGTAAGCGCTAGTCCATATATCATTCCTTCTGGTGATTGATATCATGGCACATCTCAGATCGGCGGATCACTCGCGAAGGTCGTTTACTTTACACGTTCTCCTTCATCCCCATCTGTGATCGCTACGCAGGGCAGTAATTCTAGCGCCACCAGCTTCTCGACATCCAGCGCTGGTTCTCCATCTGTGTCTCCACCAAACGTTACTTGTCCTATCCCCTCCAGCTCTTCGCAAACACGGAACGGCACCCTTACGCCCCTTGCCCTTGAATCCCATTACAATGGAAATGGACATAATAATAGTCATCCCCCAGATTCCCTCGACACAGACCTTTTACACTGCACTATCTTGAAACGCACGACCGAAGTACGTCACATCCCCGGCGGCTCCCTTAACTTTGAGCGGTTCGAAACATCTAATATCTCCGCGCTTATAACTTTCATATCGGAGCTCATAACTCGGTCTGCTGCCGCGAATGGCGTCTCTATCGAAGAGATGCGCCGTAGCGTCAAGATCTCAGCTACTGGTGGTGGCGCACACAGGTTTGGCAAGCTGTTCGAGGGCGAACTCGTGGTGGATGTGCAGAGAGAGGATGAGATGGAATGTTTGATCGAAGGGATGAAATTTATGGTGACGATCCCAGAGGAGGTGTATTACTTCTCGGATGAACTCATCCAAGAAGTGACGCATCACATATCGAGGGACGAGAGTGTATCGGATGATCCTGCGTCAAGCACGAGTGCGGAGTCCATTCTGGAGCGGCCTTCACCAGACCCGCCGCGGTATGCCGTGACGTTCGAGACCAGCGAACCTTCTGCGCATCTTCCTTGTTTGCTTGTCAACATCGGATCTGGTGTATCTATAATCAAGGTGGATGCTGATGGATCGTTTGAACGTGTCAGTGGAACGAGCCTCGGTGGGGGGACCTTATGGGGACTTCTTAGTTTGTTGACGCCCGCACGGACATTTGATGGTAAGTGGAAGACTTGGTGGCTTGATCGGCGACTTATTCTTGGCGCAGAGATGCTTGCATTGTCCGAAAAGGGTGACAATGCTAGTGTAGACATGCTCGTTGGTGATATCTATGGTTCGGACTACAGCAAGCTTGGACTCAAATCGACCATGATAGCAAGTTCGTTCGGTAAGGTTTTCAGAAGCCGAGGACAGGCGAAGGGAGAAGGGGAACGCGGGACGTTCCGAGCCGAGGACATTAGCCGAAGCTTGCTGTACGCTGTATCGAACAATATCGGGCAAATTGCGTGAGTTGCCTAGATATGGCACTGGAATGTGCTTGATTGAGCATAAGCTGACAGCACGGTCAGGTACATGAACGCAGAAAAGTATGGTCTAGATAGGATCTACTTTGGTGGATTCTTCATACGTGGTGTGTCGAGTTCATTATATCTTTTTAGTCATCGTGCAAGTTGATGGAATGTTTTACGTTTCAGGGCATGCAGCGACTGTAGCTACATTATCATACGCTATAAGGTTCTGGAGCAAGGGAACGAAGCGGGCGCTATTTTTCCGACACGAGGGATTCCTGTAAGTTGATTGATCTCATTCAGGTCGAGTGATTTCTGATACATTGTAGGGGTTCGATTGGAGCATGGATCAAGAACATCGACGTGGAAGAGACACCAACATCGAGGCTGCCGGCGTCATAGCTGATATCTGTTCTCATGTGCACTATTTATACCGGTCATTGAGTTATGCGTATACAAGGCTTATCATAATCAATTTGCAAGCCCAGGCGGCCTGAGGCTCTGCACTAGACGACAAAGTGGTTTATAAGGCAGTGTGACCACACCGATCCCGATTAAATTTTAGTAGCCCCGGTTGATTAATAAACGTTGAAAGCTTAGCGCTTAGCTGGCCAGGCTTGGATTATGAAACGACTGCGACTGTACAGCAGCAGGAAGGACACTAAGCGGTCAGCCACGTGGATACCCTGTGAATCCCATCCGACCTCGTCCTTTAACCGAATTTCAGTTGGCCCCTCTCGTCACAAACACCCCAGTTGTGTTCTATTGGGATAAAATGATTAAAAGATTTGGTAGTAGGAGGAGAGAATGGTGTTGGTCGTAGTCAATACCCCTCAGTGACGACAAGTAGCACCCGTGGGAATATTGATCATTATAGCAGAGTAAAAAAAGGTTGCGGATATGGAATATCAGCAGTCCATATACAAGCCTTTGTCATGTCTCTCCCTTGAAAGCTGTCCCCCATCAAGCCGCCATGGAATTAACCATGGACAACCTCCTCTTCCCTAATCATCCTTCACAATCCAATAACAACACTATTTCTGCTTCTTCATCTGTCCTTGGCGACGTTGACCCCGACGACCAGAGCACTGTTTCAACACCTATAGCTATACAGGACGATGAAAAGCCAACAAAAAAGCTCAACGATCCTGACTCGACCGACAAGGGTCCTTCTGCAAAGAAGCCTCGTCATCGTCATAGTCCAAACCAGCTCGCAGCACTCAACGAGCTCTATGAGAAAAACGAACATCCCAGCCTAGACGACAGGACAGAGCTAGCTGAGAAGCTTGGAATGTAAGTTCCCCTTTTGGGCACCCCTCATGATTTTATTGATTTGGTCGACCGGCGCCTTTTGCATTCAACATCCTATCTCCCCTCCTACAGGGAAACGAAGACGGTTAATGCGTGGTTTCAAAATAAGAGAGCTTCCACCAAGAAGCGCAATAAACCAACGACCTCTGCTTCTACTGACGCACCGCCCCCCAAAACTCCATCATCTACGCTTCCATCAATAGCAAACCTTTTAAACTCCTCATCACCTCCACCCACACGTAACATTTCATCCCGCTCTCATCCCTCATCATCATCATCTCGCAAGAAACAGAAGGATATTCTTCATCATCATCATGACAAGCATATCAATGAACCTCATGACAAGCCTTTCGCCCCCGAGTTCTTGCCTCATGATCAGTTTGTGCCTGAGAACCAGGTTGTCGATAGCGATCGGCATCATGCCGTTTATGCCGAAAGGGGCCACTTTGTACCCGACGCGGATAGCCGATTTGTCTCCGAGAATGACGGCGCCAGTGATGGCGTTACGTCTCGAAAGGGCAGAGGCGAACCAGCTCGCAATAGAACAACCCCTGAACAAACCGAAGAGCTTCGTCGTGCTTATGCTAGAAATGCACATCCTTCCAAGGATGAAAGAGAAGAACTCGCAGACAGACTTGGAATGTCAGTGTTGTTTTATCATGATTATCGTACCATCCTACTGATCTGACATCGATAGGCGCCCGCAAAGCGTGACAAATTGGTTTCAGAACCAGCGCACTCAGGCCAGGAAGCATAAGGAGGACCATCCTCCCCTCACATCTTCGTCACGATCTGCAACTGCAGATGGATCATCTCATCCATCTTCTGTCAACGATGATGATCATGGGCCTTCATTGACTCATCTGAACTTTCCTCCAAGAGCATCTCATCCATCCCTTGTCCCCGACCGTCACCTGCCTCCTCCTTCTCTTCCCTTCCTCAAGTTATCTCCACCAGAACTTGATGAAGTGAAGGTACCGCGCAGCCGAATGTCTTTGCCGCCATCTTCGAATCCTCGTCTCACATCACCTCGCATGCGAAGAAGCGTCACACCATATACAAGGGATCCCGAGGAGATGCCTCGGACTCATGAGGGCATCAAAGGAGAGGATGCGCAATCTCGTCCTCGCCGCTCTCGTCCTGAGCCATACCAGCTGGAAGCGCTCAAAAAGCTGTTGCATCGCACCTCGACGCCAAGTATCGAGCAAAGGAACGCCCTTGCGATGGAAGTCGGAATGTACGTCAAATCCATCCTGGCATATCCTCTACTCACCTCCATGCCAGGGACATCGGCAAAGTTACAAATTGGTTTCGCAACATTCGGCAAACAGCCCGCAAGCGGGCTAAACGTGCTGGTGTTCCTCTTCCTCGCGCCCCCAGGGGCCGTGGATATCAGTACAATTTTTCTCGCGAAACCTCATCAGGATCATCTTCCCAAGAGGAAGACGAAGATGATGCAATGGATCTGGATGACGAGGACACCATGGAATTTGATGTCGACGAACGCAGCGAAGAGGACTTCCAGGAGGCAGTGACCCCTGGTATGTCGCCTTCTCCTCCTCCGCAAAAACGCATTCGGGCACATGTCCCACTTCCGATGCCCCGTGGTGGGGCCAGTATTGGTGTCGAAAGCATGGGCGTGGGACTCATTGAACCCGCTGCCTTTCAAGAGCTTGAAATGGCCGTGGGGATGTCTGCGGGGCCTAGCGAGTACGTTAGTGCAGACACGGGTATGCACGCTGCAACATTTTCTGGCGTGAAGATCGAAGATGCATTGCTATTATTGAGCTTTCATCAGCATGTTGTGCATTAGGGTATGTGTTCTATTTGGTATCCCAGGAGCAGGCTCTCACGTGTTGTTTCATGTAGACATCAGTCAAAGCTATTTATATCAGTAACAATGATGTGTTTCAAGGCCTGCCCATCAAGTGTATCGACTATCATTGTGTTCTTGTGATCTTTGCTCCCCATCATCATTCCAATATTGCATACCGCATGGATGCGTTCATATTCATTATTGTTGCTTAATTGCCTATTTTTTCTTCTTCTTTTGATGTCTTGCCCCACCTCACCGCGTACAATACATGAGCTTGATCTTATCTATCTGTACTGGCACGATTTGTATGCGTTCCTAGTATTTAAACAAATGTGTTGCGGTGCATAAATATCTAGTCAGTATTTGTATGTTCTTTGCCGTAGATAATTATTCCGTGTTACAATGACGACTGTATGTACGTAGAGCTACAATGAAATTGTGAAGGGACTGACTGATCTACACTGAATTGCGTCTAGCACTTCTTCCTTTCCTGCTACACTTGTTATTATTTGCGCCATAACCATCGAGGTTTGGAACGGGCAGCTTTCCTTCTTCTTCCCACTTGTCAAGGATCTCGACCGCAGCGAGATACCCCTTACTTTGAATCTCGTCAAACTTGCTGAATTGAAGTGTGCCATACTGCGTACTGGTGAGCGCCATACATGGAAACAGGAAAGCATTCGTACCTCCTGAACCGGCATCTGCATGTACAGGCAGTTCCGTGTGACTTTGGCTGCCTCCAGAGTGTGCACACTCGACACGCTTCGGATACGTAAGAACAACATAAACGGACCGTACAGCGTGGGGAACTTACTAGGCCAGTCGACTTTGGATCTCGGTAATCGCAGGCACGGTTCGAGCGCTCGAGAAGGGGTTCCATCGGTTAAAAAAGAGCCACCACCCAGAAACAGAGTCACCAAAGTTTCGAGGAGAATTATCGTCAATCTGGGTAAAGGATGGTAAGACATGGAGGTAGAGGTGACCATTCGCAACAAAAACCTACAGAACCGACATCCGCAGCAAGTACAACGCTCGCGCCCATCGAGAACATTGTTGACACCTGATGCCTATTAGGGGCCATCCAGAACCAGCAGTGATTAATTACTTACGGGTAAGTTGTCAACTGCGGAAGACGATATCGTAAGCAATGTGATGCAGGGTTAAACAAAGAAACGCACTATATCCACCGTCGACAAGCATGCTGCCGTTATCACATAATGGAGGCAGTAGTCCAACTAGAGTCATGGAAGCACCTGCATCACTCGTGAGTTCGTATCAACGAAATCAGTTCGACGACCTCACGAATGAACCTCCAGGCATAACCACTTTCGTGGATCTCCATTCGGGATGTGTTGATGTTCGTAGTATTACAGAAGTACGGGAGCCACATGTCTTCTATGTGAAGATCGTAGAAAGCCTGATCAATGTGTTAAAATTGTAGGTCCATGCTAACTTCCCAAAAACTTACTTTGTATATGGTTCTATTAAACTCATGTCCCTGAGGTGACACGTGAATGTGTGGGCGATACGAAGTGTGATCAGATGACTTACAGTGGTATAAGCGACGAGGGGGTATGTAACGTCTGAAAGTATCCTCCAAATATTTCCCATTCTTCCGCTGAACTGCTTAGCACGACTGGCGCTCATTATAATATCGCACTCGCGTGCGTAAAGACCACCTATAAGTGCGCCGATACTAGTGCCCGCGATGTAGTCGATGGGAATACCGCGTTCCTCGAGGGCACGTAAGACACCCTGTTATCTTATCAGCGGATAATGTCAACTCCACGGAGATACCACTGACGAGATGCGAGATACCACGGGCCCCACCACCACCGAGGACGACTCCGACAGATTTTGCGCAGAGTCTCCTGGCCAGACGAGAGAAGTCATTGATCATGGGATGTGGTTGCGGTCTTGCGTGCCTAGATCTCCCCCTGTACTTCTGAATGCCACTCTGCACTCTATCCTTCAGGTTCTTAAATGCAATGACAACATCAGGATCTTGCATCTGGGCGGTTTTCACGATCGGAACTGCAAGACCCTATCGTCCACATTTAAATCACTGATCTGAGAGTGAAAGTTTATGTGTACACACCGGAAGTTCGACGTGAATATGTTGGTGTACCCAAGGACGATTCTGTCTCTTTATGAGATCAGCCATCCAAAAAGCAGCTTTCATAACGCACTTTCAGCCATTCGCGTGTCGACCCAGGGGCTACAGAACGTTCGGGATGAAGTAGCACAAGCTCTTTCCGTGCTGTGGTCTTCATTGAAAGTAGCAACCTTTCGTATTCCCCAATACTCGGATCGTCACCCATCCCAACCACCATCACAAAGTCCGCCTAACAAGAAGGGTTACAACGTTATGAAGGCTTGTGAGCCATAAATGACTTACCTGTCGGATACAAGTCTGCGTCCAGGGGCTGTTGACAGGTGAATCAGCAACATAAAGCACTGTTCTGTATCTTTGCTCTTGGTCTGCAAGCCAAGCTGCAGCCTTGAGTGTGCCCATACGAGAGAATGCGTGACGGCCGAGATGACTTGACACAGAAGCTTGATTCATATACGATGTCTTCGCGCCCATCTCTTCCAACGCAGTCTTCAGTTTCCGAGCAAAGGTGTCTATAGGGACATTTCGCGATACTGGAAGAATAGCCACAGTCTTCAAGTTAGTGTTGTTCCGTCCCAGTTCGAATGCAGTGTTGCGTGTCTGGACATCGCT